CCAAGAGCTGGGCCTACTTGTAACAACAGCTGCTGTTAATGCCAAAACAGCTTAGCAGGAGCCTACGGATGACATCCAGATTTGCTCTCGCTGTCTGGGAAACAAAAAGTGATCTTTTGGTGGAGGGGGGATGCTCGTGTTAGACTCATGTTTGCCTATGATACCTTTCCGCATTAATGGGCAGCAGACGGGTGATACCCCGCCGAAAGGTTGTATAATAGTCTCTTTTTACGCTGAAATCATAGACTGGGAGTTTGTGGACTCTTATATCTACTTGTTTGTTCATCATGACTATGGAATGTGAAGCTATTCGCAACTGGCACCAACGACGCCCTAGGACCAATTAAAGGAAATGATGTTGATTAAGCAATCTACTATCTAGTAAGAGCTTATTAGAGGACTACTCACATATAAAATCAATGTTCGCCTTGAACTGTTAATGTTCATCATGACATGTCGTTGTAATAAGGCTGAGCATCAGGCTACCGCACCTTCCTTCTCCTCACATCATGCCAACCCACGAGGCCCGCACGTGCCGCCCATTTATACCTTATCCAAAAATAGAAACACCAAATGGTTCGATCAAAGATGATCAATGCCCTTTATCTAGTGTCATCTTGAGATCACGTTGTGCTCATTGTGTAGGTAGGTTTGGGTGAAACTCGTGCTGAGTACTCTCTCAACTCACTGGCTACCTCTCCTGACTTGTGAAAAGTCATCTCACCTCACACGTCAATGGCACTGACTGCTCTTCCAACGAGCACCAGTAACGAAGTCGCCAAATGCTAAAGCTACAGTATGAAGGCTACGGACAATCAAGCTTCCCATTGCTCTAAGATCATGGTCCAACACTGACAGATGTGGGACATCAGAATAGACATAGAGTAGACTTGGTCCTCCACACTAAAAAGAAAACATGCATATAATAAGCCTATATGGGCTCATCCTTTGCTCTCTTCAATTTTCTTTATAATATTATTCTTCTCAAACTTACAATTGCCTTTCTGTTGTCAGCTTTGAAAGTTGAGGCCTAGAACCGCGGTCCAATTCCGCGTGGGGATGAGCTTATCTTATCAGCCAGAAAATCTCCCAAATTTTCTTCGTTTGCAGACAAAGTTCAAAGGGACCAATCCCCCACCCTCCCGCTCTATACCAACAGATTAACAGCGAGAGCCTCAACGTCGCAATGGTCAAACGAAAGGTCGCTGCGCTCGAGAAGCTCGATGCTGACTTGTGCGTCAATTGCGAAACAAACCCGATTGTTTTTGACCATTCACTGACATTTTCTACAGCGCGAGTCTGCAACAAAAAATCCGTCGCGATCCCAAGTGCGTCCCTAAATTACTCGTTACTGCGATTAAATACTGATACAAAGCGCTAGGTCGTACAAGGAGGAGTTTTTGAAGCAATGGGAACAATATGAGGCTCAGCGCGAGATCTTCTTGGTCTCTCCTGGCACCGCGACCGCCGATTCTGTCGAGTCTTTCCACAACATTATCGATCTAATCGCTCACGTTGCCGATTGCTACAAGGAAGAGACTGCTACTTTCCCCGACGATTTGAAGTCTATTCTCACACAGCACCATGTCATTCTACACCCCGAGCTGCGGGAGAAGATTGTGGGAAGTCTGGTCTTGCTGCGACGAAAGGAAGTTATCGACTCGACCAGCGTCCTCACCACGCTTTTCCCCATTCTCGTATCGTCGCCCAGCAAAACTCTGCGTGAAACCCTGTTCCAGAAGATCTTGAGCGATCTGCGAAACTCGAACACGAAATCTATCAACCACCCTCTCAACCGAACCGTTCAGACCGTTCTTTACAACCTTGTAACCGCCGATCGATCCTCTCCTCGAGCTATCTGGGCCATCAAGCTCACCCGCGAGATGTGGAAGCGACAATTCTGGACCGATGCGAAGCCTGTTGATGTCATGAAGGAGGCTTGTCTGTCGGACAACGAGAAGGTCGTTGTCAGTGCTGTTCGCTTCTTCTTGGGTGGAGACAAGGAGCGTGAGGAACTTGAGGACGAGAGCAGTGATGAGGAGGTTGATCTGAGCCAGGTCAAGCATCAGATGGGTATCAACAAGAAGACCAAGAAGTCGAAGAAGCAGTACGACAAGGCTGTCGATAAGGTCAAGCGCGCTGAGCGCAAGAAGACAAAGCCTCATCCTCTCAACTTCTCCGCTCTTCACCTCCTCCACGACCCTCAGAACTTTGCTGAGGAGCTATTTTCGAAACATCTACAAAACACCAAGGCGAAGCTATCTCTCGATACGAAGATCTTAGTGACACAACTCGTCACCCGACTTGTTGGTCTGCACAAGCTGACCATTGTGGCGCTCTACTCCTGGTTCATCAAGTTCCTTACTCCTCGACAACAGTCTGTTACCTCTTTCCTGGCTTCATTGGCGCAGGCAGTCCATAACTTGGTGCCTCCTGATGTGCTGGAGCCCCTGATTCAGAAGATCGCAAACGAGTTCGTTTCAGAAGCTTCGGCCGCTGAGGTCGCAGCTGCTGGTCTGAACTCTATTCGCGAGATTTGCGCCCGTCAACCCCTGGCTATGACTGATACTCTACTACAAGATTTGGTCCAGTACCGCAAGAGCAAGGACAAGGGTGTTATGATGGCTGCCAAGGGTCTTTTGTCGCTGTACCGAGAGGTTGGTGCCGAGCTTCTCAAGAAGCGAGACCGTGGTAAGAATGCCACTATCAACCTGAAGGCTGGTTTCCAGGCCCAGCGCAAGTTTGGTGAGGAAGATGTCGGCGGTATTGAAGGTCTGGAGCTTCTGGAGAAGTGGAAGGAGGAGGAAAAGAAGAAGAAGCGACTTGCCAGAGGTCTTCCCGAGGATGCTGCTACTGATGAAGAGGACGAGGGAAACAAATCCGATGAGTGGGAGGTTGCTTCTGATGACAGCAGCGAGTCTGGTGACTGGATTAATGTCTATCATTCTTCCGATGAGGAGGATGACGAAGACGAGCCTGCGTCAAAGAAGCAAAAGACTGACGAAGAGCCTGTTATGGACGAAAAGACCAAGAAGGCTCTGGAAGAGAAGGAGGCTGAAATCGACCGCATCTCCAAACTCGCCACCACAACCATCCTCACACCCGCCGATCTCGCCAAACTTCAAGAACTCCGCATGTCCGCCTCCATCGACAAAGCAATGGGCAACCGCCGCAAGCGCCAGCAAGAAGAAGACCGCCACCGCGACGACGGACTCACCGCCGAGCAGATCGAAGCGCCCGCGCGTCTCCGCAAACTCACCAAGGAAGAGCGTGTCGCGCTTGCTAAGGAGGGCAAGCCAGACCGCGAGGAGCACAAGAGCACAAGGGCTATCAGCAAGTCCAAGATGCAGGCCCAGGGCAAGAGCACGAGTAATAGGGAGAAGCAGCGCAACAAGAATATCTTTATGACGATGGGCAAGGCGAAGAGCAAGCATAAGAGGAGTTTGGTGGAGACGAGGAAGGTTCTTAAGAGACATGTTGATAGGAGTACTAGAGGTGGACGAAGAGCAAACGGTACATAGTTTTAGAGTTTGGGTTGGTTGGATTAGAGATAGATTCACTTGTGCTATTGACACAGCGCGCACTAAAAGAAAGACTTTTATTTTGTTCTACTTAATCACTTGGAGGTTCTCTTCCCTGTGCCTTTTGATGAAGCAGCCATCATTCTTGAGTTTCCCGCTCCTTACCTCTCTCAAACGTCGATGGATCAGCCATTTGTCTTAGTCCGGATTACTAGCTCACCTGTCAGACTATATCGAGTCAGCATTATTCCGATCTTCGTTTTTCCGAGCCTTGGATCGAGTCGAGTACTGGTGCCTGTGAGAACGAGCGCGAGCGCGAGCACTAGCACGAGCCTGACAGGGTTTACAATAGAAAGAGGTCTTGACTAACTTTTTGCAACCGGAGGTTTGGCAGTGTTGCTTGATTTCATGAGTGCCGCGGGACATGGCGATGAGAGTGAAGCAAGCCTCGATCGTTGCGGCGTCGGCGGACATGTTGATGAGGTCTGTTTGCTCGATGTTTTTCGCCTTAGCGATGAGGTTGGTCTTGTTTTCCTGGATAGAAGGCATGATGTCGGTTGGTTAGTTAGTTTCGTACTTTACTTTGCTTTGTAGTCTGTATGTTGAAACACTAGGTTCTTGAGATGGTTGAAGTTTTTAGGAAGGGAAAGTCGTGAATTTGTAGCATTTTGAGATGGCGCTGGCTGAACATGTCAGTGAATGAGGGTTCATGTTCTGTATTTGATGTTCTACCAGTGCAAAGAGATGTTCACGGTCGAAGGCATTGTGAACAGTATGCGGCAGTTTTGTTGCTGTTATTCATATGTCCGATACCCGAACATCCCATTGCTGGTCATTCATAAATTTGTGAATGTTCATCCCCTTTTATTTTTCTTTCCCCATCTATCCCACAACCTGCAACGCTTGTGATCATGAGAAAGCAGAGTGGATGTCATCAAGCCCAAGTATGTAAGTGAGTTTAATGTCAAGCCTAACTGCTATAACTAGAAACTATTGACTCATTATTGATGTTGCGTTGCTATTCCCATGTGTGCCTGTATTCTGCGTATTTCCATGGGCTCTTGTCAGGTGCGATATTCCATCCTTGAATGTTATCCCTCGTGGAATAGCTGGCTCCATCCGTAGTCATGATATGCTTGAGATAGTCGCAGTCAGACTTCGTCCAGAATCGAAGCAAAGCAAGATGAAAGCTGATGGCATCCCTCTATTGAACCCTACTTCATAAGGTATTCCCGCTCGAACCGAGTGCGAAACATATTCAGCCATCTGCTCTCAGTCGGAGAATCTCCTGCTCAATACCGACTATAATGGAGTCCAGTTGCCAGGAAAGGGTTGCCTTATTACCGGCGAGTAAACACGCGTGGATTGAAGCCAGCTGTTCCAAACCGGCGCGGAGAGCGCTGACATCAACCACATTCTTGAGTTGTGCCATTACATCATCGATGGAATTTGATAAAATAAGCCCGTGTTTCTCGGTTATCAATTAGGCGCAAGCGCGCGTTGAACATTGGATCGTTCTAGAGGCTCGCATACTGCCCCCAGCCAGTCCGATACCTCCTTGTTTGCACTCGGTTCTTCCTCGTCATATTCACTCCCCGGGATGTCAACCTCGGAAACAGTACAACGCACGGTTGAAGCAGTCTCTGGGGTGCAAGTCGTGTAGTTGGCATGCACTTGCATTGACGTGAAGATAGCTCGGACCTTGGTGTTGCCATCATCGTCATCAGGTTTGATCTGCAACTGGCAGTTTTCGAGGAAGTAGAAAAGACAGTATCGTGAGAAAGTTGCTAGCATCGGCAAATCGTCTATTTTCTCAATCCAAAGAACTCGACGAACAGCTTGAACGATCTCCTGGTGCAGGTCTGTGTGCGTAGGGCTGGCTTTCTGCGTACCGGTTTAGTTAGACGTATGTATAATTACTGCATAAGGAGAAGCACCCACCTTGAACTCGGTAACCAGGCTTGAAATTGCTTCATCGGAGAGTGGTTCGTCCTTCTTGTCGTGGAAGAAGGCAGTCTCTCCCGAATTGTTGTACTGAGGGGAGTACAGTCTGTCTGCATTGAACTGAGTGGATGAGTCCAACATGGGGTTCAGATAGCTGACATCGTCGGTTTGTTTCCAGAGGCGATAATTGATTGATGTTCTCGTCAAGATGTCGCCGGTGTGTATTGACAAGGGGGAAAAGAGAACTTGACATCTTGATCCCAAATAATAAAAAGATTTAGGTATCTTGTTATAAAGTTTGTATGAACTTAGGATGAGTTTAGGGTAGATTTAGGATACCTTTCCTTAGATCTGATGTTTCTCTTGTGCTCTCCTGGGGCGCTCTCTTTGGCTTCATGCGGCAATGGCCTTGGGCTTCGGAGGCATCTTCCGGATTGTCGCGGCATAGACCCTGCATGCCTTGCTCACGATGACATCTCGCGTCTTTGTCTTTGTCTTTGTCTTCGTCTTCGAGATATCATGGCCACACTAGAACTCATGTTGCTAGAAGATCGAATCCTTGGTTATCTTGACAGCATGCAAGTGTCCATCTCCGAGTCTACAGCCAACAGACACTTTGCCTGTGGTTGGATGTACTTGCTGACGCGAATGAAGGCTCGTATCGCATTTTGACTGCGGTCCAAGACTCCTCTGGCTGTTCGTTCTTCTTGTCGTCCTTTACCCCGGGCCCACTCTGTCGGTCTGTATTTGCCAGGTTCTTCGCCAATGACCAGTCCGGCTTCAAGGTGTTAGTCGGCCTTACCGTGTGGCATGAGTTCACTTTCGATAGGGAGACACCTTCATAAGCCTTTCTGGGGACCATCGTCTTCGACTTTGTAACAAGCGTTCTTCGGACCATCAGACGTGCTCCATAGGTAGCATTTACCAAACCGCCTTCGACCAGGTGCATCGACATTCATTCGTTCACCATGAATGGTTGTAGCAATATCTGGTTCGTAAGGTCTGACCACCTTGGTTGGGGATCAGAATCATCTGCTCTGCCTGCCGATTGCGATGGCACAATGGGCGTCATCCTGCTGCGAATGTTGGAATACGATAGGCCTGGGAAAGAATAAAGCAGGGGGGAAACGAGCATTGTCTTTGCGCTTGCAGTGCGACATGCTGATGATAAAGCGTCCCATTTTGACAGAATGCAGATTGTGCTAGGCTTGAGGTGATGAACAGAGAGTGAAATGAAGGGCATAGGCTAGGAGAGGGAGAAAACCTAGGACTTTGATCCTTTATAGTAAAAGGACTTAGGTAACTAAGTCTAAGTTTATGCTAAATTTAGGATAAGTTCAGGATATCTTTTACTGAAGTCTGGTTTCTTGCTCTTTCATGATCACTCGGAATATAGTCACGTGATGATTCAAGATATCATTTGACACCATAATAATAAACAGAGAGGTAACGAATGTTCATGGTAAGTGAATAAGACGACTGTTCTCGTACGTGACAGTGACAGAGTCTAGAACACTTCTCGATCATGGTCAGGGGAGTGAATAGACTTTAACTTGTAGCCTTCTGATACAACATCACCTCAACCAACGATTCACCACGTCAAACCTTCAGGTCCCCCTAAGAGCTGTAAGAAAACTCAGGACCTCTATCCTAAGGGACTAAAATATTTAAGCAGCTTCTGCCTAAGGTTAGGGGGCCCTTTGCTGAATTGCTTTTAGCATCCTCTTCTCAAGTCCCAAGTTTTCTTGCTCCCTGCCCTGAAGTCCCCTTGTCTCATGTCTCACGTCGCATCCTGAGACACAGCACTTTAACAAACTTCCTCGCAACCAACAGAGTAATGCGATTGGCCATCCCAGGTAGATTACCATTCGGCATGTGGGTTGACCAAACCGAGAGCCCAGAGGGAAAATAGTCCGATGATAGACATGGAAATGGCCGTAACAAGAAGGCGCTTTATGCACGTAAGTTGCGTGCGTGCGTATCACGAGCGTAGGATTTAGCTCTTGTGTTTCATTTGACGTTCTGCCCCGCGTTCTTGGGGATTGAAATCAAGGAGGAGATTGTAATTTAACTAAGAGGAATAGACGGGGACTTGCCGATGGAGAGTGCCGTTGGGAATTGACGCTATTGCCAGCCACGTTCGGCAGATGAATCCCTGTGAAGTTGGAGTAATTGCTGGATATGCATGAACAACATTACTTAACAGCAATGTTTGTTGCTAGACATCGCCCTTTATCAAAGCTCTAGACTTTAGAGTAACGCTTAGGTATCTCTACAAACTCTTCTAGAAGTGTCACCCAATGCATCATCCCCTCCCACTCGGTCCATCATTGCAACGATCACCATCGGATGGCTCAAAAACCTGAATCATGTCCCCGACCAAAAACAACCATAAACCATGCTTATCACTCCATCAACTAAACCCATTCCAGACCCTTCTCCCCCTTCCCCCGCAAATCCCCAGGTTTTCTTCTCCAACAAACATACTCAAGCTACTGGAGCCTTTTCCCTAATGAGGTTACAGCGCAGGAGAACCGTGATGCCACACTTTCGATGACGGTCAATGTGTGACGCCCGCCCCCTTGCTCGAGCCGATAGAGAAAACTGTAAATAGCTTGCTCGTTCCCCTTTCGCCTCCTCGAAATTGTAGTTCTTCCTTTTTTTCCCCTCGTAATACATTCATCATGGGCGCGAAAAAGTTCTTCAAGGAGCGATCGCTCAAGGTCTCGGATAAGAAAGTCACCAAGGCAGCGGAACTCACCCTGCGAGAATCCATCTGGCCTATCGCGCTTGTTACTGTTCTCTTCTTCCTCTGGGGTTTCAGTTATGGACTCCTTGATACGCTGAACAAGCACTTTCAAAAGGTGCTGCATATCGATCGTGCGCGATCGGCAGGTCTTCAGGCTGCGTACTTTGGGTATGTACACCACTATCGACGAGTGTTATAGTAGAGCTGATAGAGGTCCCAGTGCTTATCCTCTTGCGTCGCTGGGACACGCAGCGTGGATCCTTCGTCATTATTCGTACAAGGCTGTGTTCATCTGGGGTCTTTGCTTGTATGCTGTTGGCGCGTTGATTGCTATTCCGTGTATCAAGGCAAAGTCGTTTGCTGGGTTTTGCATGTCCATCTTCATCATCGGAAACGGACTTGGTTCTCTTGAGACTGCTGCTAACCCATTCATCACTGGTATGTTGACTCGTCCTCAGTTTGTGTCCGTCTCTGACATCTGTAGTTTGCGGTCCTCCTCGATACTCGGAAATTCGCATCAACATCTCCCAAGCCTTCAACGGTATCGGCACCGTCATTGCTCCCGTTCTCGGCTCATATGTCTTCTTCAACAACCTCGATGATAACGCAGCGCTCGCCAACGTGCAATGGGTCTACCTCTCCATCGCCGTCTTCGTCTTGATCCTGGCGTGCCTCTTCTACGTCTCCAAGATTCCAGAAATCACCGACGCTGGTACGTTGAATCCCCTGCACCGGCACTATCATTACTGACTATTTCCAGACATGGCCTTGCAAGCTCAAGAGACACATTCAGAAGCCGATGATAAGCCCTTCTATAAACAGTATAAGCTCTTCCATGCTTCATTCGCTCAGTTTTGTTATACCGGCGCGCAAGTTGCTATCGCGAGTTTCTTCATCAACTACGCGACTGAGATGCGCAAAGGAACATCAGACTCAATGGGAGCTAAGCTCTTTGCCGGCGCACAAGCAGCTTTCACCGTAGGCCGTTTCTTCGGAACGTTTCTCATGAAGTTCTGCAAACCGCGAAAGGTTTTCTTCGTGTTCTTGACTATGTGCATTGTCTTTATCGGACCGCCCATCGTTCATCACGGAACAGCTGGTGTATCATTCCTCTACATCGTTCTCTTTTTCGAGTCTATCTGCTTCCCTACCATTGTTGCATTGGGTATGAGAGGTCTTGGTCGCCATACTAAGCGAGGAAGTGGTTTCATCATTGCTGGTGTCATTGGCGGTGCCTGTGTGCCTCCCCTGACAGGAGCTGTTGCAGATATGCATGACGTTGGTATCTCAATGGTTGTACCCATGATGTTCTTCGTTGCAGCCTGGTCATATCCCATTGCTGTCAACTTTGTCCCCTCTTACAAGAAGGTGGTTGACGTTTTTTACGAGGCAGACATTGGTCTTGGAGAGCGAACTCTCGATGAGGAGAAGATTCAAGGCACACAGCATGAGGAGAAAGATATGACGGCACGCGCTTGATGTATGTGTTTCCTTCCAGAGTAGGTAGCGTAGTTAGTAGTCGGAATACCACGATTTCAAAAAAGAAACAGATGCTCAATACGTAGAAACGGCAAAAGAAATGCGTAATCTGGGAATCGAACCCAGGGCTCCCCGACGCTGCTCGAATGGCAACGGAGAATTTTACCACTAAACCAATTACGCTTGTGGTTCGTTGAAGAGTCGTATGGTAATGGAATTCATGTTTCGTGATACCGGGCCTTGTTGGATGTATTGAAATTTTTCCGTGGGGCAATTATGGGGTAACTAGCCGAGCCAATTAGAGACAGATAGTGCAACTCCCGAAGCGGCAAGCTGTCACGTGGCCGATCCAAGCCTCATTGTTCAAGTGTATTCTAGCTGTGTCTAGATATCTAGCATGGAGACTCAAGATCCAGAAGAGAGTGTAGCTGCTGAAGCACGAGACTTAGTCGCTCAGTCACTGACCTCAGATGCTCTCATATCCAATGCTTCCAGCTGTGAGTGTCTGCAACAACTATCCCTGCAGTGACATACTCGCTTCGTTTCGATGAAACAGAACACGCAGTGACATATCAACTACAAGAAACACGTACAGTCAAGCATTGAGTTGCCGTTTCAAAAACTATAAGATCATCAGCAAAAGGTCGAAGCTTTCCCGCGTGTAATAACCGTTTCACGTTTATTTTTACCATCAACTCAAAATCCCGAGATCCTACCCTGTATCTCGCCCGGGACGTTAACTGCCGATACCTTAATTCTAACCTTATTATCTCCCGGTTTCATATGACCATAAACATTCAGTTTTTTACCAAATCGCTATTCAACCTCAGCCAAATTGTGTGAAATAGGCTATTCATAGCGTTGTGCTCTGCTTGTGAAGCAGCCAGTGCTCCAGCTTGACTCGCCTCAACTCCGTGAAGATCGCGAGTGGGTCAAAGGCAACGTCTCTCTGAGCACTGATTTACATTCGTCGTGGCAAGGAAGAGCCTGGGATCAATACCATAGCCATCATCGACGACGGAAATCCCACGTCCCGGCTTTACGCCAAGAGTGCTGTCTTATTGCCTCGGTGACATTTGAGAACAAATCCCCATGGCAATTGTTTCAAAAACCACCTCACAGACCATATTTCCGCGTGGGATATACTCTTTTCGGATACCGATAGAATCATCCGAGAATATCCTCTATTTGCCTCTCTCTCTCTCTCTCTCCACTATAAAAACATTGACCATCATAATGCAGCCCCAGTAGCCAATCTCGCATTGACGTCTCACACGTGTAGAGATCCTTTCTTCTCATTCGCCGCGTTGAAAGCTTGGTTCGGACAATACCCGCAGATCTAGCACAGAAAGGAACAAGCTCCTTGGCTTTATCCACGATAAAGTTGAGGGTCCGTCTACCATGATCCCTGCCTGCAGCATTTCTCGTTTAGTGCACCGACGACTTTTGAACGCATGGTGCCTGTTTGATTGGTCGCTTTTTCGTTGCGTGTTTCGAGCTTTGGAGGTTTTGGCTGAAAAGAGTATCGAGTCGCGTGTCTGTGCTTCAAGCACACGAGGGCTGCTCAGAAGCTGAGGCTCGTCGAGTATCGACGGTTGAGAAAGTAAGAAGCATTGGGCTCTCTCGAGGGGGCTGTGAAGAGCTTGTCTACAGAAGAACAAGTGAGCAGCTCAGTTCTAGCAACTGAGTTCAGGAAACCTTCCAAGCTCAACCTTTGCCATCTCTCCCGATCACCACAAGCTCCCTAGCTCGTTTCCCCTCCAGGATTCGTCAAGCCATGGCTCGCCTACAGCTTGGCATACACCCCCCTAGCATTAGCCATCTGCATCACCATCTCAGACGTCGGTGACGCATTAGGAATCATGTCGCATGCTCACTCCTCTCCCACCTCAAACCCATCGTATTCCCCTCTCAGCTCATGTGTCGCGTGCTCTATTTCCCAAAACCATCACGTCTTCCTTTCCCGCGATCGCCAGTTACAGCCTGAGACGTTTTAGCACTGGAAACAAGGTTAGTCACAAGCTTAAGGTAAGCTTAGTTCTTCAAGTGGAGAGGGTCTCCAGTTTCTTCAACGCCTCTCGGATGTGTTGCTACCGTCCAGAGAAGCCAATTGCTTGCTGTAGAGCCGGTTCGTGCATGTTCCAGCCCTGTTCTGTGTTACGCAGTCACACTCGCACTCTGTTGATCTGACTCTTGGCGTACAAGAATTTCTGTGGCAAGCCCGGGATGTTTGATGTTAACCCTAGCTCGAGGTCCTTTTCTTCGGTGGAATCGTCTTGGCGATGTCTTGTCTTGGCTCTTCTCTTGGGGGGCGTGTGAGTAACTCCATAGCCCACGTAGAACAATTCTTTCTTTTCTTCTCCACCAGCTGGAAAAAACTTATATATACTACGGAAATGTCTCGTAGAAGCTGAAATCTCCAGATCCCTCACACATCCTCCCTTTCCTTCTGAACCTCTTCTTTCTATTCGTACTGCACCGCTGAAATGGCAGTCTTCGCTCAGTACGACTACCTCTTCGCGGTAGGCACTATCTTTGCCTTCCTCGATGCCTGGAACATCGGTGCCAACGATGTCGCCAACTCGTGGGCTTCATCGGTATCTTCACGATCTATTAGCTACTTCCAGGCTATGATCGGTGCTAGTATCATGGAGTTCACTGGTGCTCTTGGTGTTGGTGGCCGTGTGGCTGATACCATCCGAACAAAGATTGTTGATGTCGAGGCCTTTGACGATAGCCCTGCTCTGCTTATGCTGGGTATGGTCTGCGCTGTCGTTGCTTCTGCTAGTTATCTCACCTTCGCTACCCGCTTTGGTTTCCCTGTGTCTACTACCCATTCTATCCTTGGTGGTGTTTTGGGTATGGGTGTTGGTGCCCTTGGCGGCTCTGGTATTACTTGGGTAGGCTACAAGGAGGACGGCTCTCTTGATATTCAGCAAGGTGTTGTTCAGGTTAGTACTCAACCACCATCTCACACCCACATTCACTAACTCATAACTCACAGGTATTCCTCGCTTGGATCATCGCCCCTATGCTTTCCGGTATCTTCGGTGCCAGCATCTTCCTCTTCACAAAATACTGCGTCCTCCTCCGCAAGAGCCCCGCTATCAAGGGTCTTATCCTTGTCCCCTTCTACTTCTGGGCTACTGCCTCACTCATCGTCATGCTTCTCATTTGGAAGGGTGGCTCTTACGAGGTCAACCTTACTGAGGAGCAAATCCCCGGTGTGATTGTCGCCGCTGGTGCTGGCTGGGGTCTTCTCATGGCTATCTTCCTCGTCCCCTGGTTGTACCGTATCGTCATCAAGGAGGATTGGCAACTCAAGGCTTACCACATCTTCCTGGGTCCTCTCCTCCTCCGCCGTGGTCCTGTCCCTCCCACCCCCGACAACTTCCAGGGCGTCGTCCGCAATTTCTACGAAGGCCATCTTACCCGCGAGGAGCTTGAGGAGCGCCGCACTCAGCGTGCTGCTGCCCTTGGTGAAGACCTTGAGGCTGGTGGCAATGACAAGAAGGTTGTCACTGAGCAAGCTACCGAGGAACCTGCCGTCAACCCTTACCAGCACAAGTCCATGATTGGACCCAAGCCTGATGCCCCTTGGTATACTGGTGCTTTCATGTGGTGGGCTTTCAAGTTTGCCATTCTCCACGGTGTCGATAAGGATATTGTCGGCTCCCAGAGCGAGAAGTCTGTTGTTGCCGGCGATGTTGAAGAGATTCATGCTCGTGCTGAACATTTCGACAACCGCACTGAATTCCTGTATACTTTCCTCCAAGTCATGACCGCTGCCTCTGCCTCTTTTGTTCACGGCGCCAACGACGTTGCCAACGCTGTCGGCCCTTACGCCTCTATCTACCAGATCTGGCAGTCCGGCGCAGTCCCCGGAAGCAAGGCTCAAGTTCCCATTTGGATTCTCGCTTTCGGTGGAGCTGGTATCGTCCTTGGTCTTTGGACATATGGTTACAACATCATGCGAAACTTGGGTAACCGTGTGACACTCATGTCTCCTGCTCGTGGCTTCTCCATGGAACTCGGCTCTGTTATCACTGTCATTCTGGCCACTCGTCTTAGTAAGTTAGTCCACAGACAACTTTTAACAACATGCACTAACAAGTTTTGCAGAGCTGCCTGTGTCTACTACTCAATGTATCACTGGTGCCATTGTCGGAGTCGGTCTCTGCAACGGAGATTGGCGTTCCATCAACTGGCGCATGGTTGGATGGATCTATCTTGGATGGTTCATCACTGTTCCTACAGCTGGTCTGATCTCAGGTTGCTTGATGGCTTTCATCACATATGCTCCTAACTGGAACTAGAGAAAAGATTGCGATAGAACTGTTATGATTTTATGTTGAATGGCGTTTGGGAATACGATACAGAATATACCAATTTTATGATTCCAAATTGAACACATAAGCGAAAGGGGTAAACCTTTGGACCTGTCTCCTTCACGATGAAAAGACTTGGGTGAATTGAGGCAAGTTTAGTATAGTTTTAGTATGTCTTTACATCAGCCTTCCTTTAGCGCTTTGGCTTAAGGTTAGAAGTTTTGTTGCTCCTTAAGGGGCTCTTTGAAGTATCATCACATCTTGACTGTGCAGCTCATATAAGAGACAGGTTACTTTTATTAAAGGAATGGCTATCTTAAATGATGAAACAATGTACCTAATCCCTCCTCAACCTGTCAACTAGACACGGCACCAAGTACTGTATCCTTATTATGTACCCAGGTCAAGTGGTTCTCTTGTGTCCAGTGACACTGGCCTTCAGATTGTTGTATTCAATCTCATGCTTGGATGGCCTTGCCCTCGTTTGGGAGCGCATCAGTTGTAGAGTCGGGCGAATCGCACGGAGCGCTTCAGGGGCTTGTGCTTCTTCTCATCTTCCTCGACGTACTTAGCAGCCCATTTCTCAACGGTCTTCTCAACAGCCTTCTCGACCGTGGTGTCGTCATAGGGATCGGAGCGCTTATCGTGCTTACCATGCTCGGTGGATTCAGTAGTCTCAGCGGTCTCCTCCTCCAACTTGAAGATGATTATGAGGGCCTTGCGGATTTCTTTGTCGATGACCTCATCGAGAAGCTTCAGAACCGTCTTGATGGCGTGTTCGACCTCCTCATCTGAAGGGCTATCGCCCAGATCCTTGATGGCCTTGACGAAGATCTTGTCGGCAATCTTGACGGTATCCTGGATAGCAATAGTAAGAGTATCATAAATGAGATCCTCATCAGGCTTTGCAACACCCTTAATCTTGACGATGCGGCGGACGATCTTGTGGAAGTTATCTGCGAATACCTTCTCGATGACCTCCTCAAGCTTCTGGAGGAACTCGATGATAGTTTCAGTGCTAGGGTTCGCACCGGTCTTCTTGATAGCTGTTCGGATGGCCTTCTCGATTCTGTCCAAGATTTTGTCCTCAGCTTCCTCAATGTACTCTTCGACCTTGGCACTGTTGACGTCAATCTCAGTAGCCTCGCTAGGCTTGGACTCAAGAGAGCGCTTGTGGGCACCCTTCTTGCCCCAGTGGCCGACTTCAAGGAAGAAAAGCTTCTCTTTGAACTTGCGCTCATGAGTGATGCGGGCATCCCAAAGCTTCTCCAAAGCCTCGTGTTTGGCCTTTTCCTTCTCACTCTCCAAGCTCGCCTTCTTGGCGGAATAGTGAGAGGACTTCTCGAACTCGGTGGTGGGCTCGTGCTCATGCTCATGCTCCTTCTGCTCATGGCCGTAGTGATGCTTCCTTTCAGGCTTGTCCTCATGTTCTTCATGTTCCTCATTCTCATCATGATGGTACTTCTTGGGCTCATGCTCGTGCTCGTGCTCATGCTCCTTTGGGTGCTTGTAGTGGTGCTCTTTGTGCTCTTCCTTAGGCTCATGCTCCTTATGCTCGTAGTGCTTAGGTTCGTACTCCTTGTGCTCATGGTGACCAGAGTGGTGTTCCTTTTCAGGTTCCTCATGCTTGTACTCCTTGTGCTTGTAGTGACCAGAGTCGTACTTCTCCTCAGGCTTCTCGTGCTCATAGTGCTTGTGCTCCTTCTTTGCGAAGTAAGCGCGGTAGAACTTGTTGAGAGCCTCTTGGAAGTGTCCCTTCAGAACCTCTTTGACCTCCTCCTTGGACTTGTAATCACCATGCTCGGGAGCAGACCTCTTATCATGCTCATGCTCATGCTCGTATTTGGGTCCGTACTTGTACTTGTGCCCGTGCTCTTTCTCATGCTTGTACTTATCCTCTTCGGAGTGATACTTGTGCTCAGGATCGCCCTTGTGCTTGTACTTGTACTCGTCCTTCTTGCTGGCCTCTTCCAAAAGCTTCTTGTGCTTCTCGGCCTCGAGCTCACTCTTGGATGCCTTTTCCTTCTTGGAAGCATCAATGTGAGTGCGAGAGTGATCGGACTTTTCCTTGTAGTAGATGGTAACTGGATCCTTGTGCTCAGATCGCTTGTAGTGGCCGTAGTCGTACTCATGGCTGTAGTGATGCTTATGAGGATCATGGTGGTGATGACCGTGGTGACCGTGGTGGCCATCATGATGACCATAATGGTACTTTTGAGGATCGTGATGATCATACCCATGGTGGCGACCGTCGTGGTGGGCATCGTCCTTATAGTCATAGTAAACATGATGCTCCTTATAGTGGACATGGTCGTCAAAATGCTTGTGACGGTGCTTGTGAACATGGTCATGAGCGTGGCTGTGGTTATGTCCATGATGATGTCCGTGGTGGTGCTTATGTCCATGGTGCTTCTCTCCATCTTCCTCGAGTAAGCCGCGAGCATGGTGGTGGTTATATCCATCATGGTGCTCACCGTGGTGGTGCTTGTGACCGTGATGATGGTTATGATGCTCGTTGTGACCGTGGTGATGGTTGTGGTGCTCAACATGATGATGCTTGTGATGCTCATTGTGGTGATGCTTTCCGTCGTGGTGCTCATAATGGTGGTTTCCATCGTGATGCTCGCCGTAGAGATGCTTGTAAGGATCATGGTGGTGGTGACCATCGTGGTGACCATGATGATGGCCGTCATGATGACTGTGATGGCCATGGCGATGACCGGGATCGGCGTGGTGGTAGTGATAACCGAAGTGCTTAAAGTAGTCGTCCAAGAAAGCATTGAAGTCGCGGTGGCTGTTGGGATCATAGTAGTGATGGAGCTTGTAGTGATCATGACCATCGTGATGACCGTGGTGACCGGGATCGTGATGCTTGTGACCATCGTGGTGGTCATGATGGTAATGTACAGGATCGTGGTACTTATGGTGGTCATGATGATCATAAGAACGAGCATGATGCTTATGATGAGGGTCATGATGATGGTTCTTATGGCGGTGATCATGATGGTGATGCTCCTTGTGAAGATGACCGTGGAGGTGACCGTGTCTGTGTCCATGACGATGAGCATGGTTGTGACCATGGTTATGGTGATGCTTGTGGTAATGCTCATGATGATGCTCCTTGTGCCTGCAGCTGTATTAGTACTGGGGAAACGAAAGGATGAAGTGGGGGTAGTACTTCTCTTCTTCCTCTTCAGCTTCAGCCTCCTCCTCTTCCTCCTTCTTGTATTTCTTCTTCCTTTCCTCCGCCTCAGCCTCAGCCTCGGCTTCCTCCTCTTCCTTCTTCTTCTTCTTATACTTCTTCTCCTTTTCTTCTTCAGCCTCAGCTTCAGCTTCTTCCTCCTCTTTCTTCTTCTTGTACTTCTTCTTAGCCTCCTCGGCCTCTTCCTCAGCCTCTTCCTTCTTCTTCTTGTACTCCTTTTCTTCTTCAGATTCTTCGGCCTCGGCCTCTGCTTCTTCCTTTTCCTCAATCAACTCGATCTTCTTGTGCTTGTACCTGCTTGATATTAGGTGAGGTGAGACATGCTGATTAACGGGTCGACTTACTCCTTGCACTCAGCGCAGGTGTAGCTGACAACGAAGTACTTCTCGTTGATATCGGGAGAGCGGCTGTAGAGCTCGTACTTCTTTTGCCCGTGGGAAACGGTGGCCTTGACCTTGATGTAAAGTCTCCAGCCTCCATTGTCCTCGAGGGGACAGAGGTCGCTGTAAGAGCCGCCATCCGAGAGGGAGAAGAAGGGAACCAAGCACTTGGCCTCCTTGTAGTCGTTCTTGGCTTTGCAGTGGTCGCTCTTCTTGTTGTACTTGAAAGAGTCCTCTGTGGGAGGCTGACCACGCTCGATGTAGACGGCTACATCTTCGTACTTGTAGTGGTCGATATGCTTGAAGTTGAAGACGATGCCGTTGTCCTTGAAATCGAAGGACACCTGAGTCAGGGCCTCGTGGGGGGCGCAATGAGACGTGCCGACACAGAGATCCCAGGAGTTGCCGGGCTTGTAGTCGTTCTCAGGGAAGACAAATGTCGCAGGGTCGGGAACCCACTTGTGCTTGCCATCCTTTGAGCATCCTTCAAGAGAGTGATGCTCTTCTTTGCCGGATTCAATCTTGAAATGGGCAAGCGACTCGTGGGCGACCACCCCGAGGGCCCCGTTGAGGGCGTAAAAGAGGGACGTTCTCATCTCTTACTCGAACAGAGTGCAGAAATGAGAGGGTAACGAATGAGGTGAGAACTTGATCGGTTTGATGAGACTCATCCTTAGAGATCCTCCAACTCTTTTGTACTTAGAGTCATTTCACTTGCTGAATCTCACATGTGTAAGAAGGAGGTTGGAAGCATGATGACGCCGTATTCATGGCGATATTCAAAGTTTTGAGGCTTCGGCGAGAAGTATGTCAAGCTTCAGAATGAGGAGATACTGCATCGAAGAAGGCTTTGTGGATCGATGACGCCCCAGCAACGTCGCCAATGAAAGTGAGGGTGAGGAGAAGGGCTTCAACAACAAACCGTTCCTGATGTTTATCCAAGCTGTTGAATGAAGCAAGGCCATGAAGTACCTCTAATTGTTTTCATGAGCTGCTTCGTATTACACTACTCAGGTTGACTCACTGAATTGTCATGTCCGTGATTGAACACCATGATATTAATTGAGGCACCAGAACAGATCCTTTAGGGACTCTTCTGCTTCGATTTGACGTTGGGACGATACTACAACAGATTCACCTATGAGTTCAGTCTCGAGGAGAATGAGGCTTGTGTCGAATATGGCCACGATGTAGGTGAGTATCCATCTTGCCATTGGACGAGTTCCACATCGTATGGCCTCTGAGTTACTCAGGAACTGTAGGTCGATTCCATAGGCTCTCATCCAGTCCTAGTACCAGTTTCCGTCCCTTCGTGTATGCGTGTATGAGTTCCATGGTTCGCTGGTCACGTAACTCGATCGGAGATTGCATGTGAGAATGCAACATGAGGTGATCTCGAGGCTATGTTGAGCACATTTGCGTAATTGACGATGATAGGTCGTAGTCAAGTGACGAGGTCGGTCCGGCTCCAAAGCTGGCTGCAGGATGCATATGCATATCGTCTTGCGAAAAAAAAAGTCCAATAGTTGTTTGACGATACTGAAGAAAGAAGTTGTCGAGGATATCGAAGGACTTTTTGCGTTAGTTCCTGAGGCTCAAACTGAGGAGTCCTTTGTTGGGAAAGTTCAATAGGCCGGAACAAGGGCAACATGCAGGAACGGAGATAACCTAACGATTCCTTGGTCTAGAAACGGTAGAAAAAGTTACATAAAACGAAGGATCAGACGATGGAATACGAAATTTAAGCATCCTGCTGGTTCGCGATAGGCTTTAAGCTTGAACGAGTGCCGAGGCTTTTTGTCATTGAGTTTGATGGCAGATCGACGATCCATTGTTTTCCCCACGGAGTCTTTGTCAATTCTTGCGGACTCAAGTAAACAATGAGACAATAGCTGCAAGAAACAAGGATCAGGGAAGTCCCAGCCGGTGGTCATGGGTTCCCTTCATAGGAGGCCTCATCTAGGAGGGAGTAGGTAGCACTCACAAGTAATGCTCTGGGTTCTATGTCAGCCAACGTATTCAACATTTACGTGAGAGACAGTAGAAGAGGTGCGAGCGATAACTACCTGTGTAAGAATGTTCGCAGTTAGTGTGTAACGTTATGCGGGAGTGAGCACCCATGGTTACAATTGAATGAGCTGCAATGCGATGTTCAGGCATCAGATATATAAACAATGGAAAAGGGTTGAACACAAGGCTTTGACGGTGAACATTCAGAGAGACTGTTAAAAAGTTGTGTGCCATGGAATGTCTATCGTAAACTATCCAGCCGCAGGGCTTTTCAAGCCATAGAATTTACTACCACACGAAACTCGCGATGCCCTCACTTTTCTCGTCACTATTCCTCTGTAATATATAGGATATCCATTAATTTGATTAAATGTCCTTCAATAATGAAGAGTATTGAAATGTACCAGTGGATTGACTTGCATACTGTTCAACTCCACTCCGGAGTGAACATGTCGCTGTGTACTAGCACTCTCCATTTGACACTGGCAGTGGCAGCGTCCAACCTGATTCACCAGGAACACCGTTTGTAGTATATTTACTCTTCCATGGTTTTATTATCATTCTCTTGTCTGAATCTCCCTTTCATCTGTCTCTTCATCCTCCATCAACAGTCGGACAAAATCTCATTGTTGATCATCATCATCTCACTTTCTATCAACAACAACCATCTCACAACTCTTTTGTATCATCACTACCTCCCAATACAAGTCACTATGAAGGTAGCTGTCATCGGCGGTGGTCCAGCTGGACTAGCTACCCTTCGATTTCTCGCTCATGCCCATGAGTACTTCCCCATTCCCCCTATCGAGGTCCGACTCTTTGAAGCCGAGTCCCAGATCGGCGGCACTTTCTCCTATCGTGTCTACGAAGACGCTGAGGTAAGTTCTCACCCCTTTCCTTTAATGAAACATATGCTAATAATATCATAGCTCGTCTCTTCAAAGTATCTCACTGCTTTCTCCGACTTTCGTCTCCCAGACGATGCTCCTGACTTCGTTACCCCTGAAGTCTACGTTCAGTATCTCAAGGACTACGTCACCAACTTCGAACTCTGGCCTATGATCGAGTGTAACACGAAGGTTGAGAAAGTTCGTCGTGGACCTAACGATATTGGCCATGTCATCTCTCTGCGCAACAAGCGAGGTTCCTCTGATTGGGAGTGCGATGCCGTCGCTGTCTGCAGTGGAATCAACGTCAACCCAGTCATGCCCAACATCGAGGGTATCGAACGGGTTCCCAAGGTCCTTCACTCATCCCGTCTCAAGTCTCGAGATCAGTTTGGTGAAAACACCAATGTCTACATCATGGGTGCTGGCGAGACCGGCATGGATCTTGCGTACCTCGCTGTCACTTCTGGCGCAAAGACTGTGACACTCTGTCATCGCGATGGCTTCTTTTGTGCACCCAAGGTATGTTATCACACTATCATTGTAAGAATCAGCTAACGGTTTATAGATCATCCCTATCCCTCAGGCCTTGGGACGTTCCACACCCACTGCCAATAAGCCTGTCGACACCTCTGTCGCCAGCCTGTTCGACACAGCCTACACGCATCCAAAGCTTCAGAAGAGCCAGCTTCTTTGGACTTACTACGACAGCTGGATTAAAAATATGCATAAGTTCATCTCAGGTACCGAAGAGGGTCCTGATCAGTGGGTTGGCCAGATGAGCCCTGACCGCAAGTACATGGATTCGAGTAAGTGCCCCCCTTTTCCACGACTCATAGACCAATGGCTAACGTATTAATAGTCCTCCTCTGCAAGTCCGACAAGGCTCTACCTTATATGAGCGTCGGCAAACGATCCCAGTCCTTGGGCAACCGTATCCGATCTTTCTTCATGAATGTCAAGATTGAAGACACTAAGGGCAAAAAGATTGATGTGATGACTTGGCCTACCAGCATTGACCGAGATGGCAACATGCAGTTCGACAACAAGCTGCCGAGTGACTCGACCCTCCCGAAGGACCAGCTGAAGCCCGATGTCTTGGTCTTTGCAACTGGCTACACTCGAGATTTCCCTTTCTTGGACAACAACTACCCAACTGTCGCCCAGACCAACATTCGAGAGATCTACAAAGAAGGAGATGTGACTCTTGGCTACATTGGATTCGTCCGTCCTTCCATTGGAGCCATCCCACCCCTTGCCGAGCTTCAGGCTCAGCTTTGGGTTCTTCACCTGCTCCAGCACAAGTACCCTAAGGAGGTACCTGCTGTCCGAGACTCAAATGCTCTTGAGTCTTATGACCTCGACTATCGTCTTCATCCCCGAGGCAACTACAGTTTCTATGAAACCAAGCGAGCTGTTGACCATGAGAGCTATGCTTACCAGCTCGCTCTCGACATTGGTTCCGCGCCCAAGGCCCGTTCGGTCATGAAGAAGGGTTGGAAGGTCTTCTACACCTGGGCCATGGGATCCAACTTCAACACTAAGTTCCGAATGGTTGGTCCCTGGAAATGGGAGCAGGGCGCTGAGAACATCATGCGAAACGAGTTGTACAACATTGTCAAGCGCTCCGGCGGCTTTGTCTGTAAGTATTCCCCCATGCCCCCCTATTTGAAACATGTGCCAACTGATTTCACAGATCTTGCGACCTACACTCTTGTGCCTCTGTTTCTTTTTGGAAGCATGAGCATGGTCCTCTATGCCTGGTACGGTATCTGCAACTATTTCGCCTCTCTTCTTGGCGGACACTCTGGATCTGCCACGAACGAACGGAACGCCCATGACGACCGACTTGCGTGAGTGGAAATTGCCATCAGATTTTGACTTTGAGTATGAAGCCACGAGAAGTTTTGCGCACATGAAAGGATAGACCTTGGGTCTTTTGCAACGTCGACTTACACCGAATATGAGGGGTTGGTTTGAGTCTTGCAAGTTGTTATTGGTTTCCTGTGGACTAGCGAGTCTTTAGCACTACGGAGGAAATCTTTTGTAGAAGAAACCAATAAACAGATGAATAACTTGGGATTATTGACGGCTGCAAGACATGCAGCTGATGCCTTACAGTTTCACGCTACTCAGTACCTTCAATCCAGTGCGTATTTTCAAAACAGGTGCCATTTAACATGAATTTCCATCCTATAAGTTCCTCGTCAGAATATAATGAACTGGTCTCAAGGCCTGGATATACTAACTTACTATCTTTTCATTACTTAGACGAGGTACCCTTGCTGCCGCGATCTCGGTGAGGATCGGAGTGTGGGGGCCGTGGCGGGGCTCACCGAGGTGAGGCTGGCTTACCTTAGTTTTTTCTTCTTTCCAAGGATCGCAAATCATACTCGCTCCAACAAACGCAATGGACAAGGAGACGGTACAGCCCAATTCGTGGGTAGCCCTGCGGCTCCCCAACGAGACATATCGCGTACTACAGGTCGTACCAAATACGTAAGCCAATCGTCATTTTCCCACTCCCTCCCTGCACGACTGACTTGCGACAGGACCATCTCGCTGGGCAAGTATGGCTCATTCCCAACAAATCTGATCATCAACCGCCCGTACCACTTCACATACGAGGTCCAAGACAAGCGCGAGGGCGAGACATTTGCGCGCCTGCGCGTCGTGCCCGCTAAGGAGCTCAATGCCGACGACTTGGCCGACACCAGCGCCGAAGCGACAGAACCAGCCGAGGGAGACGATGTTGTTGCCGCTGCAGATGGTGAGGAGCTCACTCTCGTCGACGAGAGCGGAAAGGTCCTCATCCGATCGAATCGCGAGATCATCGACGACTCGGCCCGACAGACTCTCAAGCCGGAAGAGATCGAGGAGCTCAAGCGCAAGGGCGCATCGGCGGGCAAGGAGCTGATCGCCAAGCTACTGCTGTCGCATACGGCCATTGACCAAAAGACGGCGTATTCTCTGGCCAAGTACAAGCTCCTCAAGACGAAAAAGTATATTCGACGGTTTACCGTGCTACCTCTTGACGTGCCGATGCTAGCGCAGTGGTTGCTGGAGGACCGCGATGCTTCAAAGATCCTGGAGATGAGGCAGGAGATGATGGCGCTGGTCGGTTGCTGGGCTGATGTTCACTACGGAGGTGTTGCTACCGAGGATAATGGTGCTTCACAGGGCGGGAGGTGGCTGGTGGTGGATGATACGGGTGGCTTGCTGGTGGCATCTTTGGCTGAGAGGATGGACATCCTGCACCCCAAGCTTGAGGAGGAGAGCACGGAAGATCCCGCTGCACCAGAAGTCACAGAAACCAACACTGTTCCTACAGACGAGATGGACCAAGACCAGCCCCAGACAACAGAAGCCACAGACCCCGAACAAAAGCAGGAGAAGAAGCGATCTTCTAAACGAAGCGACTTCAACGTTCCCTACGTCAACAAAAACACCCTCACCCTGATCCACGGTCAGACCCAGCCCAACCTCGCCCTTCTACGATACTTCAACTACGACGCCGCAAACGCCAACCCCTCTCCGCCCTACCACCCCCTCGACACCAACCTCATGGATATTTCATGGCTGCAGCTCCTGTCACCCGAGGAAGACGACGCATACAACAACAAGCCACCCGAGGCAACACCAGAGGAAATTGCGACATGGAAGACGAATCGCAGAGGAAACTATCACCGCAAGAGAAGAAGGTGGGCGCGTATTCGGCATGTGGTCGACACAACACGCGCCGGAGGATTCTCTGGTCTCGCAGTCGCAAGCACCATGGATCCCATCTCCATTGTCCGCAGCACAGTACCTTTGCTAGCGGGTGGCGCCCCCATCGCTATTTACTCTCCTACCATCGAACCCCTGACGCAACTGGCCGACTGCTTTAGTGTGGCGCGTCGAGCCGCGTGGGTATCATCGCCTCCCCCAGAGGTCGAAAGCAAAACAGCTGAAGAGCTTGAGCGCTGGGAGGGCAGTGATGAGTTCCCCATTAACCCTACGCTTCTGCTGGGTGTGACTATTCAGACTAGCAGGGCACGACGATGGCAGGTCCTTCCTGGGAGGACACATCCTTTCATGATGGGCCGTGGTGGTGCAGATGGATTCTTACTCACAGCATGGAGGGCGGTGCCTGTAGAGGGGAAAATCGAGGCGAGGGGAAGGTTCAAGAGGAGAAAGCTAGATACCTGAGTTGAAGAGAGGCTTTGGATCAGGGATGTCTTGATAGCGTTTGTATAAGTAATCGTCCAACTGGAGCATATCTAGGTTGACAGCCATCACATCCAGTTCACAAATCCATTCGGTATGATTAAAGCATTTTGGCTTCTTTTAGTTGACGTTCTAAGCTTTTCTGGCATCTATTTACTGCTCATTCCGTCAGGGCCATCAAGGTAGTATACCAGGGGTGAACTTGTAACAATCAATCAATATTTATTGAAGAAGCTGTTGCACTGCGAACCTCTTGTTCATATCATTGAAGAAACAGAATTTTGAATGGCAATGCGATGCTGTCGCCCAACCCAAGCTCATACTGCTATGAATACAAGCATCTCTTGTATGTGTGCCTGTAGTGCCTTGCAATCGGACGCGTTTTTGCGATACTTAAGGGCATCCTGCCACTCACTCTTATTCTTGTCCAACTGCAAATTCGAATAGCACGACCCATATGACTGGAAACAGGACTTGATCTCGAGGTCTTGTTTTATCTTCTCATTTCTGCTGTTCATGCTTTGACGGGTGATGGCACGTATGGCCATGGCCATATGGAATTCCGGCTCAGGAACCTGCTCCTAGTTTTTCTCTTCAAAGTCGATAGCCAACAATCCCAAATTCTCGGTTATTCGGAGTGGTTTCGAAAGAGATTCAAGATTGTCGAAGTCCCGATAAGGGTAGCAAAAGTGCAGAGTGACCAGGGCTGCCACCGGGAGCTTGCAGAACTTCTTGACGGCTCTCATCCAATCATCATAATGCTTATAGGCCAACGTCCAAGAAGCAGGGGGATCTTGGTCAACGCCAATTTTTTGCCAAGCCATCAGCTCTGGTGCTTGAGGAAGACACGTGGGGTCGAAAATGACCAGTTTGATTTGGGCCCATGGCACGATGGGCAAAAGGCGTGGTACAAAAAGGGTTGAAATTAAGATATTCGTAAATCGAAGCAGTGACTCAGGTGAATAGAAAATGAACTGCACTCCTTGTAGGAGCTGTAGTTTCTGGAAACTGGGGTGCTTGGCGGACACGACATCGAACGGAATGGCAGTTCCGTTCTATGGTACAGTGACTTCGAGCATGCCGAGCTTTGTTTTCCTTGGATAGCCGTCTTCATCTTCCTTCAAACAATAATTTCTATAATCCACGTAAATATGCTCAACTTGATGTAGGAGCCAGAATCCGAATACTTGAGAAGTGCGTGGCTTCGGCAACGTTCTCAAGACTTCGGGCGTCATCGCGGAGACTACTGCTCCAGGGGGTGTATGCTCATATGCTGTGGCAGAGACTACGGCCCCCGGGGCCACATCATGCTTCTTGCGTGCTGCGGTAGGATTTTTTGGACTAGAGGGTACCTCTATGCATTCTGCTGTTTTGGTGGGCGTGTCTGGCCGTTTTTGTTGCCTTTGCTTGTGCTTCTTCGTGCTAGGTTTTGCAACCGCATTCTACTCGATTAATCAGATATACAAATGCGTTGATGAGCATAATGACTTACCGAGTAAAGCAACTTACTCGACGGCTTCCTGCTTCGTGTAGACCGAGCAACGTACATGGTATTGAAGAGTCTTGGAAAAGTCGATGGGCCAAGATGAAGCGATGTCGAGAATCGTTAGTTATCAATGAGGGGATAGCAAATGGAGATGAATCCTGTGATGATGAGGTTTTGGAACCCAATGAAGAATGCTGTATTGTCTTAAAACTGAGAAAGTGCAAGAATGAAGTAGATATGCGTATCGAAAAGTGAAGGAGAAGTAAGTGCAAAGGAGCTTCAGGGTAACAGAAGCATCAGTCGGGCTTGCTTCCCAGACTCTACAACATCAATCCTGAGAATCATCAAGACAATGGCATTTTTAGAGAGGCTCTGGGTATATTTACAGCGCTGAAGCACCCCATTAGCCATTAAAGCACTCTTAGTTTCATGTATGTACATTGTTTTAACTCATGTTTGCTATTCTTCTCATAGATATCGTCCCCTCCTTCATAAAACGTCGACGAACTCGTCTTGTTTACATGCCATCCTTGCCTTCCATGGTTCGACATTGGGCATAAGTCCCAAAGATACATGTAAGGGGCTCCTGAGACTCTTGTCACATAAGCGCCTTCCGTCCGATTTTCAACCCAGCTTCTTGAACTCTGCCATGAATTGTTAGCCAAGGTACCTTGCTGGGAGGAGACGTAGCCATCAAAACTAACAGAGGGTAACGCCCAGAGAAATACTCTGATAACTTAGTATATTAATGGTCTACGTTTATCCAGATCAAGGTGTGAAAAAAGCTAGTCTAAAGACCTCTTAAGTCGACCCTAAATTTATGTAAAGATCTTTAACACTTAGGATAGAGACCCCGAAGTCCAGTGCACCCTGAGACCAACGAGACAAATAGCCTGAGAACTGTATATATAAATTATAACTAGTTGTGAATTACGTAGCATATCATCAGAGTTAAGCCAGAAGAATATGGATATAGGGCCTTCTTAGGAACAGATGGAGTGCTACTAAACTTGAACCGTTCTGCGGCTATATATAAGTGTTTTACATTGCTTCTTTTCGAGGTTTTTCTTAATATAAATATCTATTGATGTTGCAGAAAGACTTAAAGGGGCGACTTTGTGGGAGTAAAAACAGTGATGAGTGGGATAATAAAATCTTTCATCGATGGAAATGACACTATCTTCTCCTCTGTAGCTTCTGGGTCTTGGCCTCTATCTCGGCGGCTAGGCCGACAAACAGGGACTGTATCTTGAGCTAGGGTGTGATCTCAACGTCTTATAGCCCCATACATCCGTTAATAGCCCCCAGCTCACATTCTTAGGCCCCGTGCCCGGAAACCTAACCCACTGTACCTTGACCTCAAGACTGACCTCCAGGTCTTATACCTTGGCACCTAGGACCTTGAAGATGCGGTACGGATGGAAACCAGTTGCAACATCCTGACCTCCTGGTCATGCTAATAAAGCAACGGTTTTATGATAGTAAATATATGGACAAGGCAATATCCCCCGTCCAACAAATGGCCTCGAGATAGTCTAGAAAGGAGCCTAGCTTTCTTTTCGTCCATCTAATCTCTCTTTTTTCTGATCCTGCTTGAGTATCTATGTTGTTTCCAGTGGGATAGGTGATTTTTTAGCCTTCAGAGAGATTGTTTTCTCGGATCATGAGATATACGCTTGATCTTCTCGCATGCCAGCTTTTCATCGTCTGGGCGCATGATGCCGTAGAAATTTAGTAGAGCCGGGTGGATAACAAGGCATAGATGCCGGACGAACTGGTCACAGACCTTGGTATCCTCAGTCAGGCCAACAGATACTTAAACGTATGCTTCAAGTCATCATTGAACTTTTCTAGGTTAGTTAACCATATCTTCTCTCCACATAGGCCAGCGTTTGCAGATCGCTCTGCTAACCCTGGTTGTAGATTGCTATACCTTGGGGATCCTTGCAGCTGTCTAATTCAGAGGAAATGCTGTTCGTTTCTCTCTTCCAAGGGCGCGCCTGAAGTATGATGGCATCAGTTTATTTTTTTTGGACATTCTGACTTGGTCGTCATTACAGAGATGATTCTCTGCGACAAGCCATGCGCTATGGATGATAGATAGCAGCGCCTATAGCATCCGGCTGAAAACCCAGGGGCTCAGTTTCCCAGGTTCGGGGAGTCCTGGGCTCCCCAGTCAAGTAAGACTCCCCTAATTAAGGAAGTTGGCCCTTCTGTGGGCTCAACCATGAGTTTGCCAGAGGTTTGTTAACACTCAAGATGGCCAACTCAATTCCTGGTTCATATAGGAATCCGTGTTCTAGGATACAGGCCACATGCTAAAGGATTGTATATTGAGAGCTTAATGTTGTGTCAAGAGGCTTCCAACGACTTCTTTAACCCTAACACTAACCCTACGATTTGGATATGATCGGAATGGTAGGCCATATCAGAGCCCGAGCATTCTCTTTCGACAATCCATGCGTAGCGGTTGAAAGGCTGGTGCCATTGAGCCTTGAGGCACTCGCATAGACACATCTTAAGAAGCTCGTGCGATAGCCACCCTGGCAGACCAGACTCGGTCGAAGCCTGGATCATCCACTTATCTATGAGGATTCTCTCTATATTGTCTATGCAGGAGTTCTTGGTCTTGATGAGGTGCTACCTTACCTGCTTGGTCTGCCCGAGTTGATCGAGCCGAAAAATGATCTGTAATATTTAGGTCATAGAGAGGTTGAGGCAGAGAAAGATTCCGTTCTAGCAGTTGTGATGCAAGTTCAGACCAACATTCTCGAGACCGGCGACTTTAGCCGTGATAAGTTTCGCGGCTTTATCAATGATTGACTTGTGACTAACAGTGTTGGACTTGGAGATCCTTCCAGATAGTCTTCTGGGAGTAGAGGTATGTGGATCTGCTTTTGGATATTCCTCTCTTGTCTGTGTTTAAATATCTTCTGCGTCTGTTGTGTTCCGTATTGAGGAAGAGCAAAAGGTATGGCAGGATAGGGAGCCTATATCTCGGTAGGTTCTGGGATTGCGGTGCCATGCTTCGTTGACGTTTTGGAGGTCGTCCTTTGTTATAGCCTCGAGCTCAGGAATATGGTTTCGTCAAGGTCGGTCCATTTAAAGCGTTATCCCAAGGCGTCCTTGAAATGTCTGTCGGCGAGGGCATTCAAGATGGGAGACTGCTTAGCGATAAGGGCAAAATGGATGGTATATTCGGTTTCGTCGGGGCCAATGACGAGGGTGAGCATCTTATATGCTGCGATACTAAGTGGCTATAAACTGATGCAGTTGAGTATAATATATGACGAAGTTCGCCGTAGGGTTGGTAATTTGCAATTGCGAATTCATCAGAGCCCCATGACCTGCGCGTCACATAAACTCCCTCCACGTCTTTGTTTCGGAATACTCAAGAGGGAGAGTATGAGTATCTCACGATAGGGCCACCTTATTAATGTTTCCAGGTCTTCATCTGTGACGTAGGTACGGAAGATATTAAGGAAGTATCTGCCATCAACGATGTCTGCTGTAGATTTATACTCTGGGTTCTTGGAACAGGTCGTCGATTTGGTGGATGATATTCAGCACCATCAGCAGTGCCTCGACACTCCAACCGTGAGCGGTGGCCTCATGATGTCGAAAGGCATAGTCAGCTTTCCTTGATTGTCCATAATGTCAAACTCGGTGCTAGCGTTTGCTGACCCTGAATGCCTTATGTTTCGCCTCAGGACCTCTCCTGGCTCTCTCACCTGGTGTTTGGCGGTTTTCTGGAGTCGAAGTCATGGTCTATGCCTGAACTATGCTGAGTAGATATATATTATAGAACGAAACTTTGCTTTCCAATCAGCTTTTGATGCTTCATAGTGTGATCACACACTCCATCCTATCCAATTTAAGTGGTAAAGTGAAATGAGAGAAGGTAACAGTCGAGAAAAGTGAAGACCATACCCGACATCGTCATCATACTCTAAGTCGAAGACCCTGCCATACGCTGTGATAGCCGATTCGGAGCCTAGCTTGGCATTCAAGGGTGAATGTTCTATAGAAAATTTATATAGGAATTGGAGTCGGTGGTATGCTTGGATGTTGACGTGATGATAATACGTGCTCTAGAGCATACTGTTGGCGACTGAGCTTTATCAACTCTAGTTCTTCGTCTGGATTGGCATGCAGAAACCTAGTGACGACTTTAGACTCCTCCTGGCCTTGGATGAAATCATTAATCTGGTCGTCAGGAAGAAACTGCCGACATGAGTTCTCGCGAGTTGTCGTATGGGATATATATGCTGCAGTATGAGATGTTCTGATTTCGTCACAAAAATGGTCTGCAGTATCTGAGTTGCAGATAAATTGAAACAGAAGAATATTCCATTCTAGCAATCGCGGTGTAGGTTTAGCCCTAAGTTTGTCGTGCTCATGTTCGCGACAAAAACCTGCACTGACGATTCTTTGTCGTTCCATTCGTTGATGACCTCGCTGCGTTCCGCTTGGCTGTCCCCTGAGCGGATTGTGATCGCCTCATACCCATATCATGTCAGGATAGTAACTGTCCACCTATAATATAGTTAGTAATTATTTCATCTAGGTTAAGATAAGAGATAGAATTAATTACAGTAAAACTTAATCCTAGGCAAGATATACCAACAATTTATAGTTAATCCAGCCTAGGATCAAATTCTCACTGTGAGCACTTACATCTATAGCCAAGGAGGGTCGACTGTCTCGATCATTATCCTTTTGGCCCTTTAAGGAACTGTATCATAACTTGCTGAACAATATCATACATCCGCAGAGACGCTCGAGAGACAGGGGAAAGACTGATTGACAACCATGTCTCTATTCCAAGTCAAACCACTTCACCTTGAAGAAACGTGGACTCCTATCAGTATGATACGTTCCAGATCTTTACGAAAGTTAGCCAGTCTCGGGTTGGCATTTGACATGCGTAGTCGAGTTTCTGAAATGTACCACATGAGAGCGGCTTCAATCTCTTTACAACTTGGAGAATATCTGCCAAGTCAACATCTGTATCTTCTGCTGGCTCGGCGGTAGTAGGATGGTGTCGAATTTCGAAACTTTCCTTATCATCTCTGCCTATAAAGCCGACTACTGATGTTTGCGGAGTGTCCGCAAAGTGGACACGCTTCCGTCCTTGGATGGGTTCAAAGTTCGTAGTGTGGGCGAACTGGGAGATGGGCATTGGCATTGTGGTGAAGAAGGCACGGAGGTAGTACATCGCGAATCGGGAATAATTCGGGAATCTCTTCTGTTGATCTCTCTGGATTCACCAGGTGGGCCATGTTGATTGTATAAACCTTTTGTTGTAGGCCGTCAAACGGGCCGTATATATATGAGATTATAATTTGCCCCAGTATCCCAAACTGAATAAGCCAGTTAACGACTTTGTATCAAAGTTTGTCGGTTTTACCGTCTCGGAGAGTGCGTCAGGCAGGATGGAGTAGCGTAGATGGTGTTCTCAGAGCCCAGACTTGTTCAATCGATTTTGCAAGACACAATGTCCTCGGCTGTCGTCTTCAGAGGTGGGAAGGCCCTATTCCAGGACATTTCAGTCGTAAATGACATGTATGGGTAGATACCATAGACTTCTTTGCGTGTTGTAGACTATCCTTCGTAGTCCACACAGAGTTTGAATTGTCTTCTTCTGTCGTGAGCTTCTTGTCAAAATAACAGCTCTTGTATAACACAGCTTGGTTCACTCTCATTTTTGTTTAGGGATTTTAATACATACATGTCGCTGCCCGGTTTCTTTACATATGTTGGCCTGTGCCTGAGGGCTGTCAGGACTTGAGGAGAGAGTGCTTTTGGTGATTCCAGCCTGTAAATAGTATAGTTCTGGAATACACCAGCTATAGTTGATGTATGTGTTCAGTCGAGTTTTTGCAGATAGATACTCAATAATTGCGACCTCCCATGGTTGACGGGTGACTATAGAGAATTCTGTGTCGATGGTAGGAGGGTCAACACGAGACAACGCCTTCTTAGTATATATGATGGGAGCGGGAAGGAAATCTCAGAGCTGGTGATAAGAGGGTTTCGATAGAATGTCTCTGGTGCTGAAGAAGATGGTTTGGAAGATGCTTGAATTGGTCGATTCGTTTGAGGTTGGGTCTTTCTGCTCAGCATTTGGTTCAGACACTGCTGGTTAAACAGCTCAGATAGCTGCACAGGCACACCGTTTCCATTCCAGCCCTCATCGATTTCCTGCATGGAGTAGCCATTTTGAGCAGCTATGTTGTTGAAGTATGCCTTAGGGTCTCTGATATAATCGCTATGCTTATGAAGGATTCATCGTGACTGTTGCTCAAGAACCGCTAGCTTGTGGATGCCCGTGTCTGTGATGACTCCAGCAACTGGTTTCGTGTCAGTTCACGAATCCCCCACGCGACCGAGTGACCATGTCAGAAAGACCTCCTCGTCTCGAGCAACGACGAGCAGTTAGGGATGTCCTCCATACCCTTAGCTCCAGTAAAGATACACAAACGGCAAAAGGGATAGAACAATACTTACCCTCTCTCAATGTAAAACTGTGTGATAACTGGTCTTTCATATGACGAATGGGGGTCAGGGAAGGTGATACCATATATGATTCTGGTATTAGTTACGTGCTTCCTGTCTCGCTTCCTTGCGAAAAAGCCGTTCATGGTCGCACTCTCGTAGAAAACGTTGAAGACATACGTTGTCTTCTGTTGCCCGTATCAAGAGATTTTTCTTCCCGCTTTGCATTTCCTCGAGACTTTCCACCAAGATCCAAATCGAATCAGCACATTAGCAATTTGTAGATTTAGACGTTGGCCTCCAGCTCCCCGACTCGCCAGAAGGATGTGAGGACGAGGACAGGCATTGAAGTTCATGATAGTGGCATTCCCATCATCTGAATGTAGTCGTCCACCATAACGGAAGATGCGCACCTCATGGTTTGGCTCCTGGATATAGGCGTCAAGCCTAGCATGGAGGATATGATATAATAATAAGGAAGAATGCACTAAGGACTTTTTCCATTTGTGAGTTTGGTTTGGTCTCCGCTTTGCGTCAATGTGTCCTGCTCTAGTATCTTGAACAGTGAACGCTCATCGAAATGGCCCAAAGCGGCGCGGTAGCGAAGCCCTGCTTGCAAACAACACTGCAGTAGCTACGGGTCTCTTTAACAGTAGCAAGGTATGTGTAAGAGCATCGGCAAGATCGTAGAACTTGGCACGGGCGAAAAGCTCAGGTATAAGGACTACTGTAGTTTATATCCTTGTGCCGACGAATCCCATCTCTCGAAATAGTTGCATCTGCATGCCTGATTCAATGGCTTTTCAGGTGAGAGAGCAGCTCTTGAGGTCCTGAAGTTCCAGGTGACCCCCAATCTCCCCCAGTATTTCCATAGGCGGCATGTGGTTCTTGTCTAGCCAGTGGATGTGGAGGAACTCTAGTAGGGCGTCTCGAGTTTTGTTGGCTAAGAGACCTCTGGAAAGATGATGTGCGCGATCTTATCTTCGATGGGCACAAATCGATATATACGAAGCATTCGTGGCCCTACTCAGGCTGGTAACGTATGAAACTGACGAGATAGTTGCACGTTCTTTAAGGTCCTGGCCAGCAAATAGCTTGCTCGGTCGTCTTCTTTCTTCCCAATCTTGCTTTTCCGGTCTTGCTGACTTCGATGGAATCTCTGCAAGACCTGCAAGACCTGCAAGACCTGTAAGGTCGAAATGGTGGTTTATACTATTTTTACACAAAGACTGAAGAAGGTAGAGGTTGTGGTGTGCGTAAACACTGGTGAAACTTCGTTTAACAGTTTCGGGTTCCTCCACCAGAACTCAGCTCGTAGGGCAAGCATAGCATCGTCACGGTACATCATGTCCGATTCCACGGATTTGAGGAGGCTATGAGTATCCGCCGCGATGTGCTGTTGCAGTCCCAGTTGAATCTACACAGCCGATCCGTGTAGCTGTCCACCAGACTGGTGAATCTCGATCGACTTTCATGATTCTGGTTGGTCTCGCCCGATGCCATATCGGTTGATAATTATGGTCGGCCGCTTTAATTGCTTCATCAATTAAGTTGCCCATCTTCGTATCTTCTTATCAGCCCATACTAAGAGAATCTGCAGGGCAGATAGTAGGGATTGCTTATTATTTTAAAGCTAAGGTTAAGCGCCTTTATGATAGAAATTGACAATAAGAGCTGATAGATCGTCTCAGGTGTCTATATAACCGAGGTCCTTATCATTATCGGCCATTTGCAGGTCAAAACTTGTCTAGAGTTCATCTCCCAGTTCATAATCGAGGAGGCATTGTACTGTACAACATCATCTCGCAGACCATGGGCGTAAGCTATTGGGTTTGTCTTTGGTCCTACGACAACGAGGGGTTGGACTGAAGAGTCAGTGCACAATGTTCGCAATGAGTGAGAAAGAGATGTGTTCATAGCATACCGTATAGCTTAAGAGAAATGACGTGAACAGCTGCTTGAGTGGCCAGGCTTTGTTCGAATATTCGAAAGAAAAAATGACCACGAACCAAACTGTCATTTCTGCCCATGCTTTCTGGCACGTCCTTTTAGATAGCTGAAAGACTTTTGCTAAGTATCCTTGTCGTTAGATTCAGTCGTCTGTGGCTTATTTAGCCATATGCTTTTGCCGTCGAGGCCACGAATACTAAGCCCAGTTCCGGGCGGTCGGGCTGGAACGGGTTTATTGGCTCGGAACATCTGAGCACAATGCTCTTCATGGCTTTCAGGTTGAAGAAAGCTTCGATTCCCGCATAATTTTCTACGTAGGAGGACGACGCGATAGAGCCGATACCTGCGTACTCGTCGAGGCTGATATGAGTTGAAGTGCGGGCCCTGGAGACTCCGAGCGAACTATTTGATGTGCTACGCCCTCAGCCTAGTTGTCCGTGGTGACTTTGCGCAAGTAAAGCTGGCAGAGTCTCTTGACTGGGGGGTTGACGCCGAATTGTAGTGCAAGCCGCCTTGGTTATAAGAAACATCTCCAGGGTAAATGGAAACAGCACTTGCTGTTTACTTGAGGTCCAGCTGAGGAATGTAGCATCTCCGTCGCTCACGGTTGAAAGCTCTGTAATAGGTGCAACCGATCCCGAGGGGCTGCTTCTGGGGGGTGTGGGAAAGAGGCGAAAGGTGTCATATTCATCTGTCTGGATATGAGAGAAGAAAGTTATATAGAGACGACTAAGTATGTGTATGTATGTATGTGTGTAATATACGGTCGGATGTTATGTGGTGAGATAAACTCTGTCTCGTGGTCGGGGATTTGGGAGAATTTATAGTCAGAATAAAGGCCATGATTGCTATCTTTTTACCCAATATGAGGTCATTCAATAATCAATTGCTGAAGTAATGGTAGAGGTAAATAAGCTGCCTAAACAATCACATGTGTTATATTGGAAACTGGACAGTGGCATTGATGTTGGCAAACACCATATAAACATGTCGCCCCTGATTGTCAATGGCACACAGCAAAGGAGCAGTGCCAAATAACAAAGGTATTCAATCTCAAGTCATAAAACACGCGGCTACGTTTATGTTAACTTGTATTTATGATACTTTGTGATAAAATAATAAGTTATGGTGACTATGTGGTAAGTTTGACAGGCCTGTGTAGGCGATTCATCTTGTCACTTGATTGGGACGTCTCAAGTGTTCCGACTCTCCCATGGCTGAGAAGCGGACAGCAATAGTTCAAGTAAGTACTGAAAATGTATTTTGTATGACGCCAGCTCCTCGATTTGGTGATAGTCTTCTAAAATGCCTTCTCTTCCCCCCTTGCCAATACTCTACAGAGACTTACCCATGAACTTTCTCTTGGTAAAGCTCAACCACCACTTGCTAGGCTTAGTCTCGTCCTCATCATATACCCTAGCGAGTAATCGTGACGCGAGCTCCTGTCGAACCTGCGACATATATTGCTTAAGCTGCTCCGCTTCTTGTCTGTCCCTAGGGGCCTCGTACATCTACACTCAAACATTAGCAAGCCAGCCACTTTGTCGTGCAGTTTGAGTTTGGCAAAACACACCTGGTTGAGAGGCCATGCAGGGTCTCCGGGAATAGCAAAGTTAAGGTCAAGCGCCAAGTTCAAAACATCCTTTTGGGCATCACGCAGAGAAGCCTGGGGTCGGATCTTTGTCAGACAATCGCTGACAAACCAGATTCCATACACGAGCAGACGGTCGGCAGGGCCCTGAATCTCAAAGTTTCGGAAGAATGTGTTGGCGCGGAAGAGGGCGAGGACCTCGTCGAGGATATCGTAGCTCTCACTGTCGGGGTCGGGAGACTCGTTGGCCGGCAGAGGCGGCGAGGGGTTGGGGAGGGTGTAGGCAGGGCCTCTGGTCTTGGTACGGAGAGGGAGGAGAGGGAAGTTGCCGATTATGCGGGGGATGTTGGGATCATTGTTGAAAACGGAGTTGTATGCCTAGAGAGGTGTTGTTAGCTTGGTTGGTATCGTGAGATGCGGTGATGCGATAGGAGATGGTGGAGAGTGTTTGTGTGGTTATTTGTGAAGTTTGGGTGTTTGGTTTGGACATACCGGCATCTTGAACAGCAATTAACAGGCCAACTCCAGTATATCAAAGCTGTTTGGGAGGGAAATGGACAAATCGGCGCAAGTTACGGGCTTAGATGCTGAGTTGCGCTTCGCTTCGTCACCGGCGGGGCTACACCAAGCTCACGAAGCTCACTCACTCGATTGATGTGGGGCAAGGCTGGCAGCAGAGCAAAGTTGATGCCTTAATCGGAAGATTGTCAATCAGGCCACAAGAGATGATGTGGCGCAGCACGTGCGCCTCCCTTTATGGCTGCCTAACGCCAGGGATTGCTCCTCACGTGAACTCGCTACTCATTCGCGCCGATTAGCTCCGCGACGAATCACGGTGGCGACGCGCTTTTTTCCTTGTCCCTCGTGCAGATTCTTCCTGGCGCAGATGCAGGTCGTATCCACTAACAACTCATACCTAAGAGTGAAAAAAGAAGCCTTGCCTTGGTTTCACGCCCTAAGTGTGATTCATTCAGTGTCACCGATATTTCCTCTCTCTCTGATCACTCCTCCCTCCTTCCACCTTCTTTTTCTCTTTCACTGAAGAGTCTGCTTTTTAACACAAGTTGCCTTGTTCTTCTTTTTGCTCATTTCCTATTGGACGCTGGAAAATCTCCCCTTTTTTTTACTTTTTCCGTCAATCCTTTTTGACAAGGGCGACGCTCGTGCCAGACGCTAGCGGAGAGCTTGTCACTGGAAAAGACTGGAGATAAACAGGCGACAGGGAATCCTTAAGGGCGCGTCGCAGAACCAAGGCTCTAACTTACAACAAATACTGGAGAGAAACATCCGGCTACAGGCAACCAACAAGCGCTGAAAAAGTCATCCAAAGCGAGGCAAATACAGATCGACTATTCAACCATCGGATGCTTGCATTTGAGTAAGTTTACGCTATTCTTCTGTTCTTTTCCCTCTGACATCAACGATATCCTTCCTCCCCCAACCCATTTACACGCAGTGCTAATCAACCCTCCGCGACAGTTCTTTCTTTGGAAACGGCAGCTTTATCGGACAGCTGCGCAGTTTGGTGGATATGGCGACTTCACAATCTTCTTCTTCTCCCTCTTCGACTTCACCGTCGCGCAACGGTAACGGTAACGGTGTATCACTGGACACAACGCCTTGCACTTCACAGGCGCCCACTGCCGCCCCGCGAAAAAGGCGTCCGCAGCGCATCTACCGGCCCGCAGAGAACTCGCTCTACGATATCTTTCAGCAGCACGCCGGCACATCGCTCTTTGTGCGACCCATTTGCTGGACAGATTTACACGCTCAGCTACTCGGCGCGAGATGGGAGGAACTGCCGCCATGCGATACACCTCAGCCGTCAGCGGCCCCAGGCACGCCACCATCGCGAGGACATTTGAGTCCATCGAACACCATCATCAGCCTTAGCAACGCGCTCACACAGATCCTCCTGCCCGACCCATTGCACCCTATTCTATCCTCAAATGCTGTCAAGTCGGTTCTCAACACGCTGTGGCCTACACCTTTCAACAAGCCGCAGTACTTGCCCGAACTCCATCTATACTTTGGCGGTCGCGTTTATCGTGATGCTGTACGCGCGCAGCTTATGTGGAATTACCCATCTGAGGAGGCAAAGTCTTCATACTCTTCATTCAAATCAGTTTCAACGCGACCCGCTGAATCCTTCAACATTTCGACACAGTCTTCGCCAAACTACAGCCCCGCCAACCTACCCATGATCTGTTACATTGGCAAGACTCAATTGGCTTCAGTCCGAAACAACCTTTTTCGCGTCGCTTCTGGACCTGGACGAACATGGAACGAACCCGTGTTTCGCCTCCAGCAACTGCGAGCTCGTATCCTCGTACCTTCAAATTCCGACCACGATGCTCATTTTGTGGGCGTCTTTCTAGGGATGGCGCAGAAGCACTTCTACCCTACCCCACCTATCAGTGGCAGACGCGACTCGCGCATTTCACCAGGGCAGGGCATTCCTCCAAGCCCCAACTTCCACGACATCAAGTTGAAGATCCTGACACACGACATTGATACATCCGAGTTTATTGTCTACACTGGTCACATCACAAAGGAGTTCTTGGAGAAGTTCCACGATCCCTTCAAGGCACCAGCTGACGATGACGATGCTATTGTGTCTGGTCTCAAGATCGAATACACAAGAGTTCCCATCTGGCCAATTCTCGGACTCAGAGAGAGACTGGGCAAAGCTCTAGGCCAAGAGATTGTCGGAACGTTCAACCCAGATGAGATCGAAACATGGGAGAAAGATCCTGAGAAGCCAACTGGCGAGAAGCGCAAGCGAGATGTCCTCACCGAGGTCGTCAGCAGTAGCTACGAGGAAGAGACCGAGGAAGAGCCAGCAATCGTTTCAAAGAAGCGCTGTCTAAACGAGGGTACACCTGTGGGCGTGGTGATGTGAAAGCAAACTGCATGCAGTGTGTGTATGATATGAAACTGAGATGGGATGGATATACCCCCACGGTTTAATTTTGAGGGCAACAGGACGCATTCGGTATACACAATACACTTGGTTGGGCTGGGCTGTCTTTGGGATTGCATGAAAACTCAATCTGCCTCGCAGGCACGCATGACATGGGCAACGGCGCAGGATTATCAGATAGTTGACGGCGCAAGGTTAGGTTATCAGGGCATGTATGAGCAACAAACATCATTTGGCTTTTGGGGACTGGTTATGAATTGAATTGAGCTTTCAGAGGGACTGAAGTGAGGGACGGGTTTAGGACATGTACATATGCCTTTCTTGTGGTTTTGATCTTTCTAGCGAGATGGTCTGCGTTTGATCACGAATTCAATGACATTTCTTGAGCATTGACCTTGACTCTTGGTCTCAGTTGCTGTTTGGGTTGTTCGCGGGGTAGAGCGTTTCTGACCATTAGTAGGCTCGACACAAGTCCTTCAACCCAAAGCCATCTCTTACAAGGAACTAATTGGCAAAGAGAAACACATGTCTATTCATTTCTCTTTAACCTCACGGACGACGACCGAGCCTCGGAATGCTGCTCGACTACACCATCTTCTTCAGCTCTGCTTACAAGAAAGCGGAGATATTTGGGTTTTTCTCCAGACCTTGATCCGAACTTGCACCTGCATATCTTTAGTCTTCTTTTAGGAATAGCATCTTGAGAGCTTCCTATTTCGAACATCGGAGAGTATGTAGTTGTGCGTGTGATGGGTCAGCGATTGTTAGTTCAGGTGAAACCATCCCCAGGTATCGATCGCAAATATTACCATTTTTGCACTGGCATGGTTATAGTACCTTGTCTCTGGATAAGGCTGAGCTTTGCTGGGTTGGGTTTGGGCTTTTACCCGGTAATTAACAAGGTTTTTTGTTTCTACCGCTTAATTTGTTTCAGTGGTAACCTTTTTGAAAGGGCTGGGGTTGTTTATGTGTGATGACGTTCTTGATGCGAATGTGAGAACAGGGGGATGTTGGATCTATACGCGGTATGGAAATGGCAGATAGTGAATAGATTACTCGAAAAGGACATTAATCCCTCATAAGAACAATAACATTCCTCGTATTAACTAGTTACAGACCGACATTTGTAATGCTCCCCCGCATTCTTGTTGCTGTATTCCCCGGACTTGAGAGAGGTCACCAGGGCCCGAATGAACTACTTTAGACTACGGCAGACAAGGATCTCATTCAGGGTCCGGGGTATGAACTCTTTTCCGATTTACACCAAATGCCAATGCCAATGCCAATGCCATCTTTGATCAACTGTGCTGTGCTTCCCCGCCATCTATTCTCTTCTGTCGTTCCTCCGGTACCACCATCTTTTTTCCACATCTCCACCAACCACAGCAAACACACTATCACAAAAACCATCCAGCTGATCGTCGATCCCTCCCCCTCTCCACGTGGACTACAGGGACGACATTTTCTGCCTCGGTCTTGTAGAGTCAGAAAACTGGGAAGATACTGACATATAACCCTCTGGCAGCTGATTTCCCCACGGGGAAGCGGGGACTTTCTTCGGCTCAGAGACTTCTTTCGGGCTGATACAGCTGCTATGCACTCTTTGAATGCGGCGATGGCTTCCTCTTCTGGGGGAAATGCCTATGAGAAAAGATGCAAGTTCACCGTCGACGTCGAACCAGGGTTGAAAAGAGGGAGGAAAACTCAATATATTGTGTGGATATGTCAAAGCGGGATGGGACGAGCACGGTGTTGCTCGAGGTTCAAATTGAGCTCATTTCCCGTGTGAAAATAGGATCAGCAATTCAACTGAGACAGCGGGTTCAGTGTCTGTTAACTCGTTGTTCTGACCCTTGAGAGGACTTAAACTTTGTTGTGTACGGCTCTCTCCGTGGTGGTTTAGTTCAGACTTTTGTTCCAACCACTCCTACATTCCAGGCTCTATCAGTCTTGCAATTGGTTGAGCTTCACGATGAAGTTTACAAGTCTTGTCTCTGGCTTCGGCCTTCTCACGGCTGTGTCAGCTGTTCCAGCTCCTTTCCCTGCACCAGATGCAATTCCGGATCTTCAGCCTGTTGAACCAGCCACGCCAGCTCTTGAAGAACGAGCTGCCAAAGTCACGGTTGCCGTTCCCTCTGGAACTGTCATCGGCTCAAGTTCTGGCAAAGTTGACTCCTTCAGAGGAATTCCCTTTGCTGATCCACCAACGGGTTCTCTGCGACTGAAACCACCAAAGAAACTATCCAAGCCTCTGGGCAACTTTGACGCTTCAGGACTTGTTGGCCCGTCATGTCCTCAGATGTTTATCTCGTCTGGTGCCCAAGATGTCATCTCCAAGTTTCTATCAGACTTTTTGTCTATTCCCTTCCTTACTCCCATAACTGGTCAGGAGGATTGTCTTACCATGACTGTTCAACGACCGGCTGGTACTAAGGCTGGTGATAAACTACCTGTGCTATTCTGGATCTTTGGCGGTGGCTTTGAACTTGGTTCGAGCGCTATGTACGATGGAACCAGTCTCTTGGGTACTGCCATTGATCAGGACCAACCGTTTATCTACGTTGCTGTCAACTACCGCGTGGCTGGTTTCGGGTTCATGCCCGGTGCTGAGATCAAGAAGGATGGTAGTTCGAACTTGGGTCTTCTTGACCAGCGCATGGGTCTTCAATGGGTTGCAGATAACATTGCTTCCTTCGGTGGTGATCCTGACAAGGTCACTATCTGGGGAGAATCCGCTGGTGCCATCTCCGTGCTCGATCAGATGGTTCTCTACGGTGGTGATGCCGACTACAACGGCAAGCCCCTTTTCCGCGGCGCCATCATGAACTCTGGTAGTGTTGCCCCCGCGGAGCCAGTGGATAGCGACAAGGCGCAGGCTATCTACGACGCAGTTGTGAAATCGGGTGGATGCTCTGGATCTTCTGATACCCTCGCTTGTCTTCGTGGTCTGAGCTACGACAAGTTCTTGAACGCAGCAAACTCTGTTCCCGGGCTCTTGTCGTATAACTCCCTCGCTCTATCATACCTCCCTCGTCCAGACGGTACAGTTCTTCCTGATAGTCCAGAAGCACTCATCGCCTCAGGTCGTTACCACGCTGTTCCCATGATCAATGGTAACCAGGAAGACGAAGGCACTCTCTTTGCTCTCTTCCAGCCAAACTTGACCACCACAGCCAAGTTCGTCGATTACCTTCAGCAACTATACTTCCAAAAAGCCACCAAGGAGCAACTGACTGCTCTGGTGAACACATATCCTACCGCCCTCAGCGCAGGAAGTCCCTTCCGAACATCTCTCCTCAACGAAGTCTTCCCCATGTTCAAGCGCCGCGCCGCCATCTTCGGCGACTTGGTCTTCTCTCTGACCCGTCGGATCTTTCTCCAAACAGCAGCTGAGCAGAACCCCGACGTCCCAGCATGGTCTTACCTCGCAAGCTACAACTACGGCACACCTATTCTCGGCACGATGCACGGTTCTGATCTGCTACAAGTCTTCTTTGGCATCTGGCCGAATAACGCTATGCGCAGTATCAGGACGTATTATTTCAACTTTGTGTATAACTTGGATCCTAATAAGGGTGTCACCAAGTATGCGAATTGGCCAGAGTGGAAGGAGAGTAAGAAGCTGATGTGGTTTGAGACGGCGAATAAGAATAGTATCATTGATGATAACTTCAGGACGGCACAATATGATTGGATTTCGAAGAATGTGGATGTTTTGAAGGTATAATCAAGGATATAGTTAGGAACTCATTAATGCATATGCTTTTGCTTGTTCAAGATGAGAATGCCTGCATATCACTACATCACCTAAAGATGCGCAAGGGCTGATGAGCATGCACCATCCATGTCTAGTTTCACTGTTGTCTATGATGTTCCGAAAGTCCTGCCTATCATCTCAAGTCTATTCAAATATATGGAAAAGACGAATACCTCGTCCTTATCTGGCCCATCACATAGACATGCTCCAATCAAGCTATGCTCAAAAGCCTTGCCATTTTCATGACCTTTAAGGACATTCCTTCTAGGTATGAGGATACTTTTTCTTTCGTCGACTTTCGCTCGTCAATTTGAGACCTTGCGTCATTGTCTTTCTCATATCTACAGAGCTCCTCGTATCTTATGGTTCTCATCACCTGTCGAGTCACTGTCTCTTGCGTCAGTTACCCATCTATTGGTACGTCGACAGCTAGATATGCTCGGTGGAAGGCCCGCCAAGTCTCAATGACTAGCATAAACTGTCTTAGCATTCATTGTTTTTAAGTTTTCTCTGACTGGAGACTCCGGCTCTATCCAGAGAATGTATGCATTTGTTAGCGAAACATTTCCTCACTCTTCACCCAAAAGTGACAAGTTAGAAAACAACAGCAACACCTATAACCCTTTTTAAGAAACGCGCCTCAAAAGGAATCACATTCCAGTCAAAGGCAACATTCTGAAGTGGAAACACGTTACGAATGCTAAAAAGAAACAGTCTCTCTCTCTCTCTCCTGTTGAATTAACGGTCAAAATGCAAAAGAAAGGGTCTGGCCGGGGATTGAACCCGGGACCTCTCGCAAGCTATGCTGTAGGGTTTTCCCTAAGCGAGAATCATACCACTAGACCACCAGACCGAGCAAGGTTCCAAAGAACCTGTTGTGGAAGCGTTGAGATTGGGTTCCGAGTTTGGTATTATATTATGGAGATCTACACCTTCACTGCGATTTGGGCCAAAACACCAGGATGCTCAGGGCCATGGTCAAGTGATATTAGAGATCAGTTGGGATACTGTGAGAAGAAGTTGTTAATTTTGATCTTTTGACACAGTCGAGAGGTTCTGTCGTTTCAGGTGCGCCAATTTTCAGATCCCAGCAAAAACTGTCAACGGTTCCAGACGTCAATACAGCCTTCGAGCCAAACTTTGAAAAATCTCAACAGCGTCATATTTCAGTGGTATTTAACTTTTGTTACAAACATGTTTCCAACATCATAGTTTACACAGTCAAGCATATCCATGAGCGCTGAGCCACTCCTTGAGCTTCTCAGAGTCACGCTCCCGGTACGCAGCACGTCCACGGATCTTATCCTTGACAGTCTCCAGAGTTCGGTTGAAGCTGCTGGTATCCTTGTCGGCCATGAACTTCTCAATCTCGTCAACAGCAGACGCGTTGGTAAAGCTGCCCAGACTGAGCTTCATGTATCGGTCGACAACGACAGGGTTGCCAAGCTTGGTGATGACGGCATCCCAGTTGTCCTGCATGAACTTCCATTGCAAAGGACGGCCAATGACGTTGCTAGCGACAGAGCCACCGAGGACGTGCATGTCTCCGGCAGGGACGGCGTTGGAGGGAGGAGACTCGTTGAAGTTGAAGGGAATGACCTCCTTGGTGAGGAGCTCAGCGTCCTTGACAGTGCCGAGAACGCTGAGGGAGAGAAGCTTGCCGTCGATAGACTTGGTGTTGAACCACTCCTTCTTGAGAATCTCAACAGTACGGGCAGGCTCCTTCATGATGGCAGCGCGCCAGATAGCGGTACGGATAGGGGCGGGGATAGAGCCAGCCTCGGGGTTCTCAACCCAAGTATTGAAGCGCTTCAAAGCCTCCTCAGTCACACTACTCATGTTAGTCCAGTCAAACTACGGATACAAGAAACTTACGCAGGGTGGCCGCAAGCAACAGCAACACCAATAATCTCCTTTCGCAAGATACCGGTGAGGTAGTCCTCGCCCTCAGGGAACTCCCAGCCAACTTCCTTGACCTTCTGGTCAATGAGCTTCAGGGTGAACTTATCCAGAGCCTTCTTGATGAACTCATCCTCTCCAAAAACAGACTTGACACCACCAATGGAGTCAAGTACCTGGCGCCAGACCAGAGTGTGGTTCTCCTTACCGAATCCCTCGAGGAAGGTCAGCAGAGCAGGGGTGGTGCCGTTGCCGGCAAAAGCAAGGTCGGCGGTGGAACCAATGATGGAGATCTTGTCCTCGGTGCTGAGCTTATCCAGCTGATTGCTAAGCTTGGCGAGGCGCTCAGGGGGGTAGTTGACTCGGTAGAAACCAGTGGCACCGCTGTTGAGCTTGTAAAAGTCCTCGTCGACGTCGCGGATGGTATCCTCCTTGGTGGTGAGAGACAGAGAGGCGATACCGGCATGGTCCTTCTTGCCCTCGAGGCCGAGAGGAACCCACCAGGTGGTGGTGTCATCCTCAGGCTTAACATCTCCGGTAGACAGGAATCGAGACTGCTTGACAGAGATCTGACCAGGCTCTTCAGCAACAGTAAGGACGGGGTGACCGATCTTGGAGATCCAAGGGTTCATGAGCTCAGTGACGTTCTTGCCAGAGGCCTCGCCAAGAGCGTTCCACAGTGCAGTAGTCTTAGCGTTTCCATAGGCGTGAGCCTTCAGGTAGTTAGAAACACCCTTGAGGAAAGTCTCGACACCAAGGTGGTTGGCAAGCATGCGAATGGCAGAGCAACCCTTGAGGTAGCTGATGGAATCGAAAATCTGGTTGACGTCAAGAGCATCCCGGACAGGAACGTGGATAGGGTGACTAGCACGGATACCATCCAGACGGAAAGCAGCCTCCATACCCTCGTTGACAAACTGAGCCCAGACTTGCCAGTCGGGGTGCAGATGATCAACAGCATGCCAACCGACCCAGGTAGCGAAACCCTCGTTGAGCCAGAGCTCATCCCACCAATCCATGGTGACGAGGTTGCCGAACCACTGGTGAGCAAGCTCGTGAGCGACGACATAGGCGACAGCGTTCTTGAATCGAGGATCAGAGGTCTTCTCATCGTACAGAACCTGGGTAGTGCGGTAGGTGACGAGACCCCAGTTCTCCATGGCGCCGTGTGTGAACTCGTGAACAGCAATCAAATCGGACTTGGGCAGAGGGTAGTCGATGTCGAAGATCTCGGAGAAGAAGTCAATGATCTTGGGAGCGTGCTCAAGAGCCCACTGACCCTGCTCCTTGAGACCGCGGGTGGTGTAGACACGGACAGGAATCTGCTTGCCGTCGTACTTGCGGTCGGTGAAGGCCTCGATGTACTCAAAGTCACCGACAGCCCAGGCCAGCAGGTAAGTGCTCATGACAGGAGAGGTCTCGAATGACACAATGTTCCAGCCATCCTTTGAAGGTCGAGTCTCCTTGACAGGCATGTTGCTCAGAGCAACCTGGTCGGAAGGAATCTCAATATCGAAATCAAAAGTGGCCTTGAGGTTAGGCTCGTCGAAGCAAGGGAAAGCTCGGCGGGCATCACAAGCCTCGAACTGTGTGCTGAACATATAGTGCCATTCACCATCGCTAGGAACCGAAGCAGAAGGAGTCTCGGCAGGCTTGTACTTGCTGCGGTAGAAACCAGCCATCTCATTGTTGATGATACCCTCGAACTCGATGATCAGGGAAGCCTTGGAAGCGACGGGGAGCTCCTCGTCAAAGGTGATGGTAGATCGCTGAGCCTTGGAGTCATAGTCGAACTTTGTAGATTCGAATGTCTTGGAGTTGACGGAGACCTTGGCGTGAGAGAGCTTTAGTTCGAGAGTGTTGACGATGATTTCCTTGGTAGGCTTTGTGATTTCCGAGTCGATACTATAGAGCTGTTAGAGCTAGCTTCACGATGAGGGGTAGAGGAGGCGTGACGTACGTAACGGTTCCCTGGTAAGTCCAGTTGGTGAACTCGAGATCCCTCAAGGAGAGATCATAGTGCTTGGGCTTGACATTGTCGGGGAGAACATCGCGGTCAGTCATTGTTTCGTTGCGGGCAAGTCTGGCGTGGGCGGAACAAGCTCGGTCAGAGATCTTGGGAACAAGACTATTTGTTGTGTTAGCAAGCTACAGCTCTGAGCTTTAGCTTAGCGAGTCTCGATTTGTTCACAAGAACAATGGGGTATAATGAGAATAGAGAAGAAATTGCAGGAGACAGATGATGTGAGAGTGGAACAAGCGGCAAGATATAGCTTGACAAAAGGGCAATGGACTAGTAGGTAAGGTAATGTAGGTACCTAGGCAGAGCAAACAAGAGCGTGATGATGCGTTGCCGTGTAGAAAGGACCCCGCGGCTGGTGGGGTATGGGCCGGTTTCCGTTAAGATCCCAGCTGCCCCTCCCTTTCTATCTCCAACAGAGCCACAGGAGACGGGAACTCTATCATGGAAGGGATAACGTACCTCCGAATACCGATTGGCATAGGCCGTCCATTATCACGGCGACTATTCAACGGCTTCACTTGACCATTTACAAGTGAAGCAAGACCTCTCGAAAATATACCACAGTTGGCGATTCCTTGAGAAACAGAAACAGATACAGACGGTGCCGTCTGCCGTGTAATCACCGATAGTGGGCTACTATTGCTCCACAGACGTAGAGGCAGAGGCAGATGTCGCAAAAGGCCCTTCGAGGACGACATTTTGGCCCGGATCCTGCACCCTTTTCAGGTGTGATGCGCCGTCGCAATTGGGCAGGTCGTTGATGGGTGAACTCTTATGGGATGCCAATGATATCCTCTTTTAGCAACTGAGAGCCCCCATTGATGGCACTTTTGTAGCGTAGCTGCCCCCAGTATCGTATCAGTATTAAGAGAGTGTCGATGCTGTGTCGAAATTTTCGGGTCAACGTAAGGCTCAGGGCCGTTTGGTATGCCGTATTGCCGGCGACAAGCGAGATGGCCGAGCCGTGTGTATTGTGTCATGACATTCATTTTACACTGTACATCATGAGATAGGGTAACTACCTACCTAACTTAGGAGGAGTGAGAGAAACCATAATCATATCGAGTCGGCTACTCATACAGAGATCATTCAAGTCTATATCAAACAGTGGATGTACGAAATTGTGACATGAAGCGAACTGGGAAAAGGCTAACGATAGCACAATCCTTCCAACCGTAACCTGAAAGACCGTAGGATAAACCTCAGGTAAGATAGATTATCCTAAAGTTTTGTACAATTTTCTATTATTTTATGCCTACTTATCCTTTGAGGTAATTATTTTCTTTCTTAGGCACGATGTTAACCAATTCATAGTGGTCAAAAGTGCAATTGCCACTATGCTTGCTGTTACTTTCGTATGATTGAATTCTGAAACCAGATATAGTGTACGCTTCTACCGCTCAGTTGAAATAACATTCTATCCATTATTCCAGCCAAAGTGCAATTTGCCGATCCCATGAGCTACCCATCAACACTGCCACACTTCTTTGAAGGGGCAAGCTTGATCCAATTCCACCAAGTAAGCCGCTATATTGGCTTTCCATACCAGTACGCCATGCAACCCAAGTTCAAAAGCGCTTCCCAGTAAAAGCAAACCCATTCCTGCCTGATTGAAAGAATCAAACGCTAACCTCCAAATACCATGCATCCTTATTGCTCATCATGCATAATCCCTATCAAAACAATCCAATCCATTACATCTATGTCGACATCTCTTCTTGCTCAACTTTTGTCGCCACGGCATCCCACCAAGGCCCATGGGCTGCTCTGTCAACTGTTCCAATCTTCTCCAGTAAGTTCGAAATCTCTCTAACTCGATCAACAAACTCAGAAAGTCCGAGACTGGCTAGCTTCTCGCCAGCCGTGTTGGCCGCCTTAACCTTCTCGCTTGCTGATCCTGCAGCGAGGCGAGCAAGAATGTTGCTACGAAGGCGGGTGAGCAATAGTCGCAAGACAGGTTCTCTAGGCTCGTTTCCGTTCTGGGCCATGTCTTGACTGGCAGTCAGAACCTTGGTGACAAGAGCGCGGAGGTGGCTCTTGGTAGCCGTCGGCATAGAACGTCCAGACTCAAGGGCAGCCATCACGCCGTCCACAGTGGCTTGGAGGGGATGGCCAGCCTCGAGAACAGCCATGATGCGAGTTGCTTCCATCTTCCATGAAGAACGAACATCCCGCTTCAAGAGGTTCTTGCACTGCAGCAGAACAGCACCAGCGGTAATAACCCGCTGGATAGTGGTAGATACTTGACCGATGCGGTTGTAATCTAGACGAAGCATCTCTGGAACCTCCTCAATGGGCGGAGGAGAGATCCTGGTAAAGATATCCACGAGCATCTGCGCATAGAACTTTCCAGCATTTGGTCGCGACCTCGGATGGTTGATTCCCTCTGGGTCCCTCTTCTGAACTTCTGCAAGAACCTTTGCTCGCGAAGCCTTCCATGTCGCCTCGGCTGCAGCGAGGCCAAGCTCGCCTTTCTCAAAATCCTCAGCGAACCTCTTAGCTTCATATGGTGCCGCGGATTGGATAAGCTGAGGTGCAGCAGTTCGCAAAAGATAGTTGATATAGTCGCAGAGCATTACATCAATAAATCCGTTGAGGGCCTCAACTCGATCGATGATGTCGCCATCTGCAAGTTTGTTCTGGATCAAGTCCTGAACCTCTTCATCGCGAAACGGGGCACATAGTTTGGGCAGGAGTGACGACATCGCAGTGAAGAATTTCTCATATGAGAAGTTGCCTAGGGCGAATTGTCGCTCTGCCATCTCGGGGTCCAGAATTTCACCGATAAGGTTATACATGGAGTTGCCCGGCTTGAGCAGGCGCTGGAGCCTTTCCTTGATGTAGCTCGCGATAAGAGCAAAAACTTGGAAATTAATCCCACTGTTGTCATCTGTCATAGTGGTCCGCATCTTCATGTATATATATTTCGAACGCTCCGATTGCTGTTCTCGGTATTCGTCAGGCGAGAGTTGATATTCCTTGTTGATGGCCAACTCATGCACCACAATCCTGTTGTTAGGCAATAGACCATTGAGGCCTGTCTTGGGCGCAGGAGCCTTCTCCTGGGCTTTGCTGGCTGGTGTCGCAGGAGGAGTCAGTGTTTGAGACTCAGATGAGACCAGACTTTTAGCTGTCTCAGTTGCTTCCCCGGGTGCGTGCTCAGCCACACGGGGCTTTGTGTCTCCGGTCTTCTTCTTGGCAAGTCGATCTTTGCGGGCTTGAGCAACCGCCTTGAATATCATATCTTTGCCCTTTTCTGCACCTGCTAGTTTCTTGATCCGGACTATGAGCATCAACTGGTTGTCTTGGATGCTCTTCTTGTAAAGAGCTGTAGCAGCATCGTCAGTTGTATCCTTGACGGTATGGTAGATCGCGTCAAGTTCGACAAACTGCATAAGCATGACCTCAATCAATGCATTAGAGTCCCGAGATTTCCAAGCAATGAAAGCGTTGTAGAAAGTGGCATACGCCTCAGGAAGTTTCTTCTTGAGTGCAGGTGGCATGGTGTATTTGTTGGCGGACGTCAAGCGAGAGAGGGTGTTCTCAAAAGAAATGAGCAAGTCACGCGCCTTGCCCACCAAGCCTTGCAACTGAGGATTGGCCAGGTCCGTAGAAGGCAATCGGTGAGAATTGAGTACATCAACGACGTCTTCATCACCATTGTCGTTTTTGTTGCTGAGAACTTGATTGGGATGACCAAGGATCAAGAAGGCACTGAGAAACGTGCGAACGGCTGTCATCTCCCCAACCGAACCAGTTTCACCCTCCTCAAGACCACACAGTCGAAGCAACTGTGCCGTGATGACAAGAACCCGCTCCTGAGCCAGGAGCTCAACGACAGTATCGAAGTGTGTATCTCTAATGCCATCCACGGTCAAGCCGAGGTTGTTGAACTCGGAGATGGCTCTCTTTCGGAGGCAGCCACGCCACCACCATTGGATGCTCCTTGCGGCCTCATCTTCCGTGGGCTTGCGTCTCTCTTGCTCGGCATCAGGCATGGGATCTGTGGGCTTCCTTGCCATGATACTCTGCCCGCGACTCCGCTTAGACGCATTCTTGGTCCGTAGTTCTTCCCTTCGTCTTTCTGCCTCAGCCATTCGCTCCTCGATCTGAGCCTTCAATCGGGAAATGTCCTGCTCTCGCTTCTCTTTCATAAATTCGGCAACCTGCTTTGCCTTCTTGACTTCATCCGCACAATTGGCGACAATCTCTGCCAAATTGCGCTCCCTGGCCTGCTGTGCCGCTATGGCTCGCTCCTCCGACAGTGAAGTATCTCGATGAGTCGCTTTAGCCAGGGCCGCTCGAAGGCGAACCTTTTCGGCATGCGCCGCTCGATCGGCAAGTCGCGCCCTGCGGTCCTCAAGAAAAGAGGCGCGGCGAAGATGTTGGGCGACATGCTTGCTCTGTTCACCTCCTCGGTGACTTGATGGTTGAATAGAAGAGCATCGCGAGTGAGCAGACGAGATTGAATTGCGGCGCGACGAGGCAGCCGAATCTCTGCGACGAGCCTGCGTTGGGCGATAAAAGCGAGCGGCAATGTGGGGAGGTGGTGTATAAATTCTGGAGTCGTCATCTAGGACATCGTCTTCCTCATCGGGAGGAGGCATGGAGAGATCGAGTGTATCTTCCATTTCATGGTCCGACGGCGCACCGTTGGACTCTTCGATATTGCGCGACGGCTCCGCAAGGTCGTGGGAGAGGCGGCGCATCGTGTCGGCGCCTGATGGCAGATGTGACATGGCCACTGCTGGATGATTGTGTTGTGATGTTACCAAAGAATAAATCAATGGTAAAAGTAAAGTCAATCCCAGGTCGGGATATTCGTCTTGTCGACGCCCAAACGGGGGAGGCCGGTTTGAGGTCGGGCTGGGCGCTGAAAGCGTAAAGCAGAGTCGAGAGACTAGGAGTGTTTCGTCTGGGCAACTCTGGTGGCGCAGTGGGATCCGTGGGTGGTTCTGAATCAGCAGCGAAAGGCTAAAACGGGGAGGTCTCAAATCCGCTAAACGAGCCCACCAAAGAATGGATGAAGGGTTGAAATAAGAGAATGCGCAACAAGTCGCGATGAAAGCGTATAATAAAGGCGCAGATGAGTAGAAACGAGGGGAATGCGGAAGACAAAATATAAGTATTGCACAAGCCGTTTATTAAAAGCTTACAGAAGCGTCAGGCTATTGTGAATAAAGATAAGATGGAAAGAGAAAAGAATGGAAGTGAGTGAGTGAGGTTGGAGGAGGGAAAACAGTAGAAGACACCAAGTGCCAGGTGATGGCGGGGGAGTCAAGCCAATGAAGTGTAATTCCTTATCGTTGGACTCGCACTTTCCCGTCGTTGCAGCTGCAGTTGCATATGCAGTTGGTGGCTTCCAAGTGCCGCTCTTTCCACTGCTTGCGACGACGATAGGGAAGGCACCCGTTTCAAGAACGATGAGATGGATGCATGCGCCGCGACTACCTTAAAGGGATATGTAAAGAGTGGGAGGGGGGGGAAGGGAAGTGGGGGGTTAACAAGAAGGAGGGAAGGTTCCAGTTTCGAGTACCAAAAGCATGGACGTTTTTCTTTTTCCTCTTTTGTTGTTTGTTATTACTTGAGGGAGAATCCTTTTTTCCTTGGAACATTGTGAAACTTTGACGCCCCGGCTTCGTGGACACTGGACAATGGACAGGGCATGTGTCAAGATCCCTGGGCTGCCCGGAGAGCC